CTTACGTCATTTGTTATATAGTATTCAATACTCTTAACAAATACACTTTTGAAATGTGTCAATGGTGCATGGTGATATACTATGTAGTACCGACGCTGACCGATTCTTGTTTCAATAATCATAAGGTGCAAAATGATGCACAACCACCGCCGAGTGAGAAAAAAGAAAAATGCTCGGCTTATGTATATGAATTTATATTTAGGAAAATAATGTGGGTTCTAAGTTAGAGCCTTGTGGAACCACGAAATTTTTTGTAAGTCTTTATTTCATATTACGTTCCACAGTGCAATATAGTAGTATATATTTCTATACTATAAGGATCTATCATTATTGCACAGTAGTAAGTCTAGATAAGAAAAATAATGTTGGCCCTAACTTAGTGCCTTGGGGAACCAAGAAAATCTTTGTCGTAAGTCTACGTAAAATTTTCCTTTGTCTAATTTATGTAAATGAGCCGGTCACGAGGTACCTGTACTGTATTCCATTACGTCACCGTTCATTATAACTTAACACTAATATTGAATTGTAAAATGCTTTCTAATACATATACGTACCTAATAAAATTTGGCTGCCCTTTATTGTACACACACGCTATTAATATACGTTTACTTTTTATTCAATTGTTCATTAAACAAGATTCTAAAATCACCAGGAATAGGTAGTGCTAGAACAGAGAAAGACACGGAGTCTACCTTATCACTACATTTTTTTCCAGGAACATCAACCCCAATATTTGTACAATAATACTACTAAATGAGTAGGTACTGGTTATTTTTTCAATTGATTTAATCTTTTTTGCATATAAACCAGCAAATGGCGGACTTGATGCCAAAAAGGCATTGTCTACCGGTCGAACCGGTGAAAATGTACTGTAATTTCAAAATACAGTATTAGTAAAATAAAGGGTTTACTTTTACGATCTCTGCCTAGACTTCTAGGAGAATGGCGTATTTAATATGTGATTGTTAGACTAAAAATATCGAATGCTGTGAACATCACTATTTATCGATTGTACTACGGCAATCACTATCTGTCAGTGAGCTGTCACTGTCACGTTGACATTGACATAAGATGTGATTCGCGTCAATGTACCGCTCGCGGTGAATTAACGAAATAGGGTTGGAATCAGTTTAAAACTATAAAATAAACCTGTATAATTAATCAGATCAGAGAAATCAGATAAATGTGTGTTCTTAAGTAGATTTAACATTTTTTAACGTATTTTTCATATTATATTGTGATTTTGACCGCTGCGTTAAAATATCTAGTTGCGAACTTTAAATGAACAACGGTCCGACTACTTATTTTAAATAAAATATTTTATTATGTATTTTAGTGTTTTACCGAATTTTAGGGTAGATGTCCCTGAAAAAAAAATTACTCCTAAGGAAGTCTCCGCGTCTTGTCTGTCATAAAGTTATTTATTCAGGGAACACCTGACCTGGAAAAAAAACTACATCGGCAAGTTCGACCGCCGTGTTGATAAAGCATCGTAATATATGCCATATACATATACAAAAAGATACCAAATACAACTTAGTCCTAAGTAAATATGTCATACTTAACTTGAAGAACCGGTCAATATATAAAAAAAACAGTATTCTACCGAAATATTATAATAATATTGACGGTATGTTCAGATTATTTAATTGTCACCGCACACAACATAGTTTCATGAAATAGGACTTCATACATAAAGTATATTTAAAGATGTTATTAAATATACGTATTCAGTTTATATAAGTAAAAAATATAACCCGAAAAAAATACAAAAAAAAACCTGGCATTACAAGGAAGGACAATTATCGACCTTAACGGCTCTGGCTTCAAGTCCTTTGAGTCACACATTATAGGTAAAGGAGTTTTTTTTATTTATTTAAATTGTTGGTGTAGTGTTGTCATATATCGAAAAATTACTAGATTTCGGGAAATTTACGCCGACTTGAGTGTATTATCAATTTAAAAAATCAAAGTGATCATTAAAAAAAATCAGAAACGAACACCAATTTAAGTAAAGTTTAAGTACAGTTTGAGACTTTAAATACACAATTCAGAAACTGGATGTATACACCCCGTTTTTGAATCTAAGGTCAATGGTCTACTGAACTGGTAGCTATATCCCCAGTTTCTGAGCTAAGGTCAAATGTCTACTGACCTTGTATCTATACACCCGGTTTCTGCATTGTGTATATAAAGTTAAGAACGTCTCAAACTGCTCTGTGTTAAATCTATATTCACTAAATCAATCAATATTAATCCTTAAGTATAATTAATAAAACACTTTTTACTTTAACATAATGACAATTAAATAATCCAAGCATAATCTATACATACAATTTAATAGCGAATTCTCTTAATATATTGTCAAATACATATCTACAATGTAGCTTCAAATACAAAATAACACAACACATAAATAACTTTATAGTTCTAAATTAGAGTACAGCGTAATACACGTCTACAAAGATGGAAAAAAAAACACAAGGAACTTTGAACTCTATTTCAATGCATTAAGGTTTAAAATCAGATGCTGTGGAAAGCGAATGTTTGTATATTTGTTTTTTATATATCTACTATATTCATATATAAAGCGTTTGGGAAGTTCACAGGACATATTCAAAATAATGCCTCATCAATTAAACTATAGTCAGATATATTTTTCCGAAGATGACCAACATTTCTGTCTACCAGTGGTTCCCAATCTATGGATAATTACCCACAATGGGTCGGTTTGCTATTATGCGGGGATAAAAAATAATAACAGTATTTTAACTCTTAACTTTCTAACTATTCAAATTCTTGTTTATTTCTTTTATTCTCAAAAATTACTTCTCTCGACAAGGTTAAACAATTTCAATTAACATTATATAGTCGATATAGATTTCCAAATAATTGTAGCAAAAAGATCGCGAAATATTTCAAATTTAATATTTATTAAAAAGATAGTGATAGACTTTAAAGCCCAGTTTTCGTAATCGGTTATAGGGCAAAATGTTGGGAACCAGTGACTAACAGAGACGTTTGAAAAATATTAATAGAAAATCGGTTATCACCGAGGCAAAGAAATTTTATGACATTTCAATATAATCTTTTCCAAAGTTAAAAAAATAAATAAATATAAATTAGTACATTTAAACCAGTTTATGTCGTTTTAATTCAAGGAAATAATGATGTAATTAAAGATACAAAAATAAACTTTAACAAAGCCTAGCTTAACTAGGAAACGCCTAATCATAAGTATCGCCTAAGAGGATTAGTTTAATTCCAAATAGGTTTTTTTCTATTATCCTTATCTTGACACATTTGTGACCTGTCATATTAAGTGAATGCCTAGGAAGTGGTGCCGCATAACTAACGGTATGTTAGTTGTAACGGTAGTTCCTACTCATTAAGCAATTTTTAAATACTTAGGCGACTCCTAATATTGCAAATTTAACAGAATAAAAATGGCGGAATCAATAAAATCTCAGGCAAGTGATACGCAATATTCTCTATCACAAAAATTTTGAATTTCGCTACGAAATAAATGTAAAGCTTATTTGTCGATGTTATTACATCCGAATGGGTTCCCTGTAACAAATAAATAATTAAGGTTAATATCTAATTTATGTAACAGGCATGACGTCTGGGTAACAAAAAAATGCAATTCTATTTAGTCCGTCTGTCGGATAATAGAAAAATATTAGATACGTATCTTTTTTTACTTCAATTCAACAAGAAATAGTATAAATAACAGGCATTAAAGTTGAGGAGTGGGGGCTCGCTACGTCACATTTCTGCAGAAAACGTACCATAACGTGACGTCATGCGAAATTTCAACTCCATGTAACGCCGTAATTTTATGATTACGAGAAAAATAAAAAAATACGTATTTAATATTTTTTAACACTCTACCTGACGGACAAACAAACAAAAATTAGTCATCATCCCTATTCTAAAGTAAACTTGTGTGAAAGAGAGAAATAATGTTTAGTGTATAAGATGACAAGAGCAAACAGATAATATCAGAAGGATCGATCGTGTGAAAGCGAGACAAAAGATACGTACCCTAAGTGTAAGAACGACGAAAAATAAATACATTTTGTCCGGAACCCGGTATTTCATTTACAATTAAATAAATATGAGACAACATCACATACATATTTCATTTAAAATATACATAAATTTCATTTAAAATCCTCTAGTATTTTTTGCGTGAAACAGTACAAAACACACATACATCTCCACAAATGCGTAGTCGATTAATGGATGGGTGCCAAAAAAATATCACCTCGAGCTTCTCCGAGGGTGCGTGTAATGTCAAGTAGATATAACGTCAGTGTATTTAATGTCAACTAGATGTTTTGTCAGTATATGTAATGTCAAGTAGATGTTAAGTCAGTATATGTCATGTCAAGTATAAAGTCAGTATATGCAAAGTCAAGTAGATGTAATGTCAATATATATAATGTCAAATAGAAGTATCTGTAATGTCAAGTAGATGTAATGTCAGTATACGTAATGTCAAGTATAATGTCAGCGTATGTAAGGTGAGTATATGTACTGTCAATATAAGTAATGTCAATTATAACGTCATTGTATGCAAAGTCAAGTAGATGTGCCGTCAGTATATGTGTAGTTACGCAGACATAATGTCAAGTAGATGTAAAGTCAGTATATTTCATATCAAGTATAAAGTCAGTGTATACAAAGTCAAGTAGATGTAATGTTAATATATATAATGACAGTATATGTAACGTAAGTATATGAAATGTCAAGTACATATAACGTTAGTATATGTATTGTCAAGTAAAGTAGATATAATGTCAGTATATGTAATATCAAGTAGATGAAATGTCAGTATCTGTAATGTCGAGTAGATGTAACGTCAGTATATGTATTGTCAAGGAGATGTAACGTCAGTATATGTATTGTCAAGTAGATGTACTGTCAGTATATGCATTGTCAAGTAGATGTGCCGTCAGTGTACGTGACGTCAAGTGTACAGACCGTAGACCGAGCTAGACGCTGTCGGCGGGGCTCTGGAACTCGGCGAGCGCGTGCACGGGGCTGGGCTGCTTCTTCTGGCTGCCGCGGCGCACCTTGGCGCGCACCTCCTCGGGCTTCTCGGGCCGGATCAGCGGCTTCTTCTCCGGCGCCTTCATGCGCCACACCACTATCGGGGACTGGCCGGCCCGATGCGCGACAATTTATTTATTTATTTATTCTTTATTAGCTGTTCACCCGCGACTTCGATTTATTTATATTATATTATTTATTAATATAAGCAGCAGAATATTGCAAATTAAATATATGACAAATACACACACTGCCAGGACAAAGTAGATTTAACACTCCGCACGCAGCTTCCCGTAGGTGAAAGAATTTTTAAAATCTTTTTAGTAGTTTCGGAGCCTACTTTGCAAACAGACACTCAATAAAATCTTCCTTATTTATAATATTAGAGTAGACTAGCTTTCCGTCAGGGGCTTCGCCCGCGTTGTCCCTAGAGAATTGTTAATTTGGATATCAATTCATATCTTGACAACGATACAATTAACCTGGGGGAGGGGGGGGGGGGGTTACCATCCCTTCTTACAACAATGTTTAATCTGTGCACCGAGCGGGACAGCGCTATACCGAACAATAGAGGTGTCGCATAAGCTGCACGGATTAATTGCTATAAGAACTCATGGTTAGACCAAGAGCACATATTCTCGATAACTTAAGAACTCTTTACATAATTTAAATTACTCAATCACAAATACTACACTTAATTAATAATTTAATAAAAAAACCTTCGAAGTTAAAGTGCACGTTAAAAAAAAAGAAAGCGTGTAGTATACATCGGTTTTGTAGAATATTCCCTGCTGCCAATAAATTTAGACAATTTTAAATACATATATATTAGTCTGAGAGCTCGTGACAAAACTGTACAAGAGCTTTCTAAAGCTTGATATTTCACTATGATGTTGTACTGAGGGTGTACATCACTCAGTATCCAGTGTAGCGGTCAGGTGCTGGAACACCTGATGGCGGCGGAACAATGTCGCACAATGTAAACTAAACTACTCACACAATCGAATACGCGGCGACTCAGGAAATTACACAAGTTGATGAGAAAAGAGATCAGAAACCAATATTTAAAAAGATTAAACCGACTTTAAAAAAAATTAATACAGCTGAAAAAAGGGAAATAATACCAAAAAATTTTCATCTTCAATAAAATAAACACCAATATTTTGTTTAAAGGTTGTCAATTCGACGTACAGTTTACGAGATATCCGAGGACGAACAAACATACTCATACATACGTCTATAAAATTTAGCGTCCTGTTTAGAAGCCCATATAGACATAAAAATATTACGCCATTCCAACGAAATTACATAGATACACCTCGAATTGATAACTTTTTTCTTTCAAATTGGTATAAAAGGGGTTCGTATCGGTTGAAAGTTAATTTATTACAAAATTATTAGTATGTAGTTAGTAAATAAGAAAAAACTCACACTTTCATTTAATAGAACAAACATGTTCAACAATCGCTAGAAGTTTGATTCCAGGTGTTCCAGAGCCTGTTATCTGCACTGGATACTAAGTGATATATACCCTTAGCAACAACGTACTGAAATATCAAGCTATAAAAAGCTGTTGCACATTTTTGTCACGAGCTCTCCGTCTACACAATAAGCCATGCATTTTATCGACAAACCAATTACAACTTACGTAATTCTGTTCCAGAAAGCGAAAACAATGCCACGTATATGTTATTTCATTCCTTCAGAAGCCTTAATTTAATAATATAATTATCGTAATCTGCCTTAAGATAATATAGCAAACATTCCAATACCAAAGTAGGCGAAGCTATTATAATTTATCTTATACAAGTCGAACGAATCAATACGACCCTTGGCTGAAACGGCGATTGGTCAAAGTACAGTGTGCAAAAAAGTCGATGTCTCGAACTTACAAGCCTATTTTTCGCGATAAAAACTATCCTATGTCCTTTCCGAAAGTTCACTGTATTTATATAGCCAATTTCATCAAAATTAGTTCAGTCAAATAACAAAAATATAAAGCCATTAGAAATCTGCTGCATAAAATGAGAAAGTATTTAAAAAAAGAAACTACTAAAAAGGCACTAGATGGCGACTCTAGCAAAAGTTGATTTTAGCAGGAAACAAATGGACCAAAGATGCAATTTTAAAAATTCGAAACTTAGATATCAATATAAATACGAAAAAGTACAAATAGAATTCGAGTTGTTTATTGAGTTTTGAAAACTAATTTACTTTTATACATGAAAGAAAACCGTAAGGGTTGTCGTGGAGAAATCAAGAACGTACCGTAGCGACATCTAGTTACATTTCGGGTACTAATGTTCTTTTTTTAAATACTTCCTCATTGGCAACATCATATGAGCACCTGAACGACATATCAATCAAAATACAAACACAATCCCACCGCGATTCATTAGCGTACAGCGCCATCTAATGTCAAAGTTCGAAATCATATATCGTACGAGACAATATTAATTTTTTTTTTTCCTATTCATATCAGAATAACCAAACATATTAAGCATTATGAATAATGCAAAGCACTTTTTGCGCATAACCCAAACCTTGGCATTAATAATTTAAGCTCATTATATATCAAATCCCATGCTATATATCCTAATTACATTATCCAAAAATTTTAATATATATCACGCATTATAATCACCTATCAAATTTAATAATATATCTTATTTATTCACAAATTAAGTTCATATTTGTGTAAATAATAGGGAATATGCGTCTTATTAAAAAAAAAGGTTATGGCTTCAGAATAACGTCTATTAAAAAATATTTTAAGTTAATTTCACTTTTTAGGGAAGTAATTATTTAAAATTGCAAAAAATGGCGTTAATTTTAAAACACTCAAACGCTATTGGTCAAAGCGGTTGACAATCTACTTGTAGGAAAGTCGATATTTAAAAAAAAATATCGAAAGCAAAATATCAATATCCAAAAAACACGCATCTTTTATGTAGTTATGTGACATCAATCTTTAATTAGTAAAGTTAAAATAAAAACTGTTTTTTTTATATTTTTTTAATTCTCTATGCGTATTTTAGACGAAGATAGAGGATTCATCATTTCAAAATCAAAAGGTATTTCTTTTTATTACTAAAAATATATTTCTAAAGTATATATTTCTAAATCAAATCAAAATTTTTTTATATTCCAAACAGGGTACGCGAAAAATGCGCATATTAAAATAAAGTCCGGACCACATTGTTTAGTAACACAATTTAACTTTTAAAATCTAATTATAATTTCTTGAAATATAGGATGTGATAAAAATATATAGAAAAGTGCATATTCCCTATTATGTATACGTCCTGTAAATTGCTAATGCGCCGGAACCTTGTCTAAATAACACCCGCGTGATGTCATTTCAAAATAGAAATACCGGAATTAGGTAGAGTTATTTATGTACTTGCATCGAAATGTTGATATTAATGTGGACCTTCCCGGGATTTCTTTATTTCTTTCTTTCATTGATGTAAGTTTGGCAACGTCGTGCGTGCAGTAGTTTAAATTGTGTAAAAGTAATATTTTTTACTGCCACATAGGAGTTCTTTAAAATTAATCTCGGGATTTGAGGCATATCCACCTGAGACTGTATGAAATCTTTAAGAGTTTTTCACGACCCTATTACGTCATCAAAATGGCGGCAAGGCGCGTTAGTAATTTAGGGAGATTGTAGCACCATTAGTTTTTCCATTAATAAAAATTACACTAAGTTTTAATATGTCGAAGCTGAATATCAGCAGTTACATATTGCTTTCGTCCCATGTACCGTTGTCGTATACTAATATAATTTGAAATGTTTGTATATATGTGTTTTTGTAATATCATATTTCAATGCGTACACTTCCAACAAAAACCGATGAAGGATATATATATATATATACCATATATATATATATATATATATATATATATTATAAATTTCGTATTTCTCACGTAATTAATTCTCACAAGTAATATTTTTTACTGCCACATAGGACTTTAAAAAACACTCGCAAAACCAAACATCTCAGGGCACCTGAGACTGATGAAATTTTTAAGAGTTTTTCACGACTTACTATAGCATATTATGAATGGAAAATTTTAATAAGGTTTTGGCAAAAAATAAAAAAATGTTTTGGCAAAAACTATAAATAAATAAAAAATGGAGCTGCAATTATTTTTACTTGACAGCGCTGTAACTTATAGTATTCAGATATTCGAAAATTTTTTTGCACTTTTAAACTAACCTGTCAAATAAAGTTGAAAATTACTTTAAAACATGTTTCTTTACATTGACTACATTCAAAGAATGCACAAATAAAAAAAAAGGAGTTTATTTTTCACTGGATTTTGAAGACATTGCACATTAATTAGGTCTTTTTTTTAAACACTACTATAGGTATAATTCAAATGCTGAAGTCTATCTAAATTGCCTAAAATATTTCTTAAAGTAGTATCTCGAAAACGATAAAATAATATAAATATTAATAATATATTATTATATTTGGGAAGCAAACAATATTTATAATAAAACAAAACATTTTTATATAACACATTAATCAGTCAAGTTTCCACTAATAGTTTTTACAATAAACATGTCACTTTTCAAATTAAATAATTATCATTCAATTTAATTACTTTTCATTGGACCCTAATAAAAATAAGCCGTAACTAATATATACAGGTTATTAATATCTGCCTGTCATTGGTTCATGGGCAATCAAATTTAATTTACTTTATTATTAAACACTCTTCATCGAATTTGGCTGTAGTATAGTATTAGCGCAAACAAAATGATAATTCATTCATTCAAGTGTAGTGTAAGTGTAGTGTAGTGTAGTGTATTATATACATACCGCTATTGTTCCCTGCCTGGTGTACTTGGTGGAGGCGACATATGAAGCCTTCACTGTTAGAACTACCGCGTTCATCAGGTTCTTAGCCGCTTGTATGAGAGATGTGGCGCTATCCAACTAGAAATATTTAATTATAAATATTATACAATACACCAATATAAGGATAATAGTTATTTAAGATACGAGTGCGGAAAGTAAGGTTTTACGGTTAGTTAAGGTTTTCGAAAAACCTTTTACGCTCAAGTTTCTTACAACATTTTTCAATGCTTTTGCGAGGAAATAAAACAAATATATAGGTTAATAAAACTAAGTATGTATTAAAGGTGAAAATTATTTGTTAAAATTAAACGTGATATTTGAACATGTTTTCGTGTCATACATTTTTATTTGAATATATTCGTTCTAGGCTCCTTGAAATACATTTGCCTTTAAAGTTTGACATATTTTCATCAATTTTTTTTTAATTTCTTTGGTGCTCGGCCAAAAAAAATTAAAAAAATACTTTTAAGCACGTGTGCAGTAAAGGATTTCAGTACATTTTTATTTAACACGTGTTTAAAGACTCGCTTTCGGTGTTTTATGCAATGGATTAAAAAAATAGCGCTTTATGAGCAACTGTATTGAAAAAACATTTTATTATTATTTATTCACTATAGGACACTTTTCTCATTACGAGAAAGATCCAAAAATACACAACTGTGATAGCTTAGTTAATAACCAGTCTGAAAATGTTAGTTTTCGTTTATAAGTAAAGTTTTCAAATCTTTAGTCTGCGTTTTTATTAATCGAATCAGTGGCCCTTATGATAAGACGTTATTAAATGTTGTAAACAAACAAGAAAAATAAGTTTCAATGAAGTTAAATATGTATATATACAGTAAGATGCTATGTAGTTTGGGGTATGTTCCGATATACACTGCGACCACTGAACAGTATGACGTCAATTTAGTATACTGGAAGCCCGTTCCTTTATAGCTAGTTATACTGGTGACTTTTTAAAACGGAACGCAGTCCAGTATACTGTTAATCCTATTTTTTGGCGCCATTTTCAAATTTGTTAATGCAAGGTGAATATAAATAAAAAGATTCCCTCTTTTCAAAAGAAAATTGGAAAATTGTATAAAAAAATTATTTATCAATTAAATCCATCTTATAAATAAACGTAAGTATTTTTTTATTTAGAAACTTATCATTTTCTGATTCTGTTTCGACTGATCACGTGATCAAAAGCACTGCGAGCACCTTACCTCGAAATCTCCAGTGCTCACAGTACAAATATGGCGGCAATTTATGAAGTCATAAATTTCCCTAGGGTACTGTAGCAGTGTACTGGCAGTCCATAACGGAACGGATTTTTCAGCAGTAAGACCACTGCGCAGTGCTCGCAGTGTATATCGGAACATACCCTTGATTTAATTATAGAATAGTGGATTGGAGTGTAGTATATTGTAATTGTAATTAAGTAGTCTACTGTAATAAAGTGTAATTTAGTATAGTCCGGTGTAACGTAGTGTAGTCAAGTGTAATTTACTGTAGCGTAATGTAATCAAGTTTAATATAGCGTAGTATAATGAGGAGATCCATGGCGCAGTCGTTAGCGCACTTTGTCTGCGATACGGTTATTAAGAAACTTTCGCAAGGGCCGGTCATAAGATGGGTGACCGAAAAATCATTATCCATCGCTCCTGCGCGCTTCGGATGGCTCATAAAACCATCTGCCTCGACTGAATAGGGATGATGACTAATTTTTGTTTGTTTGTCCGTCAGGTAGAGTGTTAAAAAATATTAAACACGTATTTTTTCATTTTTTTCGTAATCATAAAATTACGGCGTTACATTGAGTTGAAATTTTGCATGACGTCACGTTAGGGTACGTTTTCTACTCAAATGTGACGTAGCGAGCCCCCACTCCTCGACTTTAATGCCTGTTATCTAAGCTATTTCTTGTTAAATTGAAGTAAAAAAAAAATACGTATCTAATATTTTTCTATTATCTGACTGACGGACTAAATATAATTGCATTTTTTTTTTACCCAGTCGTCATCCCTATTGCAGTCGTGAACATCCACAAAACGGCACTGGACCCGCGGGGTGGGTCATGGCCCACCACTCCCTTGAAATAGCATCAGCACTGTAGGGAGAAATACCTATTTAACTAAACAATCTTCGTCTTCGTCAATCTGGGGGATATTAGGGTACGTGATAACGGCTAAGGAAGCACATTTATCGAACGTCAAATATTTGCATATTAATGCATTCCATTCAAATCACATTTATAACGTGATTCTTTCTATTTGCTTACCACACCCTATTCGATTTCTATTTCGTCTATAGAGAAGGCCTGAGCCCACAGAACAAATAAAAAGGTAGAACGATTAAGTGGGCGGAGTCGTGCGACCATCCATATGCCCAAAACGGTCATATGAACGTCATGTTACTCAAATTTCCAGTTTATTATTTGCACAATGACATAGTGGTCTATGGTGCGTCGAAAAATACGAAAATATGCCGAATAGTGCCGTTATTACGAGTCGTTTGCGTAATGAAAATGTAATTCTGAAAAAAGGAGAAATTTCATTTCATCGGTAAGTAAAAAAAATTTGGATATATAACAGTATATCGAGATATAATCACATTTTTTTCCGTGAGATTGTGTCAGTTGTTAACATAGTGCTTGCAAATATCGATAAAATGCTATCGATAGTACTTAACCCTAATATTATGAATGGCAATCAATTTACATGCAATTATAACATTAAATCTATTAAGATAAATAGTTAACAGAAATTTTTTAGAGATTTGTATGTTTTTGCTACATAATAGTGTTAATTTGTTACATAATAGTTGCCGCCAATTGTTACATAATAGTGTTAATTTACTATTAAATTTTGTAATTCATTGTGTAATGTGAACAATAAAGAGTTTTGTATTGTATGTTTCAGTTTTCCTAGAAACCCCGACATAAAAGAAAAGTGGATTGACGCGTGATAGAAATGGTCAATGGTTTCCTTCTAAAACTAGTTACATTTGTTCAACATATTTTTCTGTAAATGATTTCATTAATATTAAATAATATGATAAATTACTTACAAATTTATAATGAAATATTATGTATTACATCTAATTTTCTGATTATATTGTGAAATTAAATGTTATATTGGGATATTATTGAAATATAGTTTCAATGAGACATCTTTGTTATTATTTTCCATCCTTAATATATTGTGCTTCATATAATACCTAGTTAGTAAAAAAAATATGGATCATTAAATATACAAAAAAAAAATTAGCTAAGTATCAAAAAATAAAACTATGACTATATAATAGAAAAAAGGCAAATTCAAATTATAAAAATCTAGCCCCCAAAGGGCCAAATTATCATCACTGTCACCTGCTCTTGATATGTGACCCCGTTGCAGCCTACTTCTGATTAAAACTGACAAAAATCGCAGTTACATTGCTACTTTAGCAAGATAGGAATCGGTCTAATTGATCGAGCCGTTTCAAGTGAAAGTTGATTACAATCATTGTGAAGTGATTACATACATATGGTATTTATTTTCATTGGATTTTTTTTCGTGAATATGCGAAATGATAAATTAATAAATTATTTTATTATATTAACCCAATATATCAATGATTTTCTGATTATCGATATCAAATTGTGAATCACAGGGCACTTCACTATTTCAGTGTTGACAGAAGCGTAAAATTCTTTGCATTATATTTTGAAAAATTGTTTTAATGCAGATACGTCGTGCAATAACATTTTTATGTAATGAAACATGTATTTCAAATGTTTACACATTAACTAATCTAATATCCGCGCACAAAATATAATATTTAGAACTAACAAAAGTAATTGTGCAAATTTTTATTATAGCTAGCCATACATTTTGTGTATTACTGTAAAATCACCTGTATTAATAGGCTAGTATATACTAATTTTGCTGAAACTTTTGTAGCCAATGGAAGCATCGCTCTCTTTGTGAGCTGAATAGGTGAAGTTTTATGTCTGTGTGATATCTGGCACGCGCGGTCCTAGTACTAATGTTAGTACGTTACCATTCTAACCTTTTTATCTGTTCTGTGCCTGAGCCCCAGCAATGGAGACTTTAATAAACTGTTGGTGACAATGAGTGTAGTGTAGTATAGTGTAGTGTAGTGTAGTGTAGTGTAGCAAAGTGTAGTGTAGTGTAGCAAAGTGTAGTGTAGTGTAGTGTAGCAAAGTGTAGTGTAGTGTATTATACTGACCCCGCTGACGATCAGCTCCCCGGATATGTTCTGCACGTCTGCCTTCACCTTGCTGGTGATCTGTATCTGGTGGCAGTACAGGGCGATGCGCTGCAGATAGGCCAACAGGTCCTGCTTCGTCGACGACTCGGGACACTGAATATTGTATAATAACAATTTATGTCCCGTAATAGTAGCTCGGTGGCGTAGTGGATAAGCGCCGCGGCCCGCGATCGTTGTCGTTAAGCAACTTTCGCAAGGGTCGGTCACGGGATGGGTGACCGAAACAATTATTATCTCGAGCTGCTCGGTGCTTCGGAAGGCACGTTAAGCCGTAGGTCCCGGCTGCATTTGCAGTCGTTGATACCCTCCAATCCGTATTGGGCCCGCGTGGAGGGTGATGGCCCATCCTCCTTAACTATCCATAAAGAAGGCCTGAGCCCCTGCAGTGGGGACGCAAAAGAGCTGATGATGATAAGATGATGATTTCATAATATCGTAGTAATGCTACACACCACCGCCGTAACCAAACCTCTGTTAGTAGGGGAGTTCTATACAAAGCGAGGCCGGTACAAAGTCCACAATGTATAATATGAAGATTTCGTGTGTACATTCATGTGTCGGTATCATAGTGATAGGTAAGTGTATACTACCTTCAATGAAAATATTCAATCCTAATTAAAAATGCAATGGAGATTTATTTATTTATTTATCAGTCAATCACGCACCAGGTAACAGAATACTCCATCACGCTGGCTCATTATAAATTTGTCATAAGAATTACAATTTTTTCAAGTCAAAAAAAGTAATTTTATTGATATTGAGTTAAGTCAGATGTTCAATTAATAAAAATCAAAAAAGAAATCTCATAAAGTCCGTCAGTCAGACAATAGAAAAGCTTGTGCCCCAGCAGGGAGGGGGGGGGGGCATTAATAGGCTTTGTGACGATGTTACATAAACGCCCACTGTTTCACTGCATACCTGTTCAGCTATCTCCCTGGTGAGTTTGTCCAGTTTAGTTCCAGCTTCTGATATCTTCTTGGCGGCGTTTATCACATCCATGGTGGTTTTCAAAGGGCCACGCCCTCTATATTGCAAAACAACATATCCATTTAAAAGCAAGCACAAAAAAAAAGAAATTCGAGTAATAATTATTGATAGTAATTATTTTTGAGTAAAAATACTATTAGCATTAAGTCCGCCTTTTGGAACATTATCTTTACTGGTCAATAAAGTTTGATAAATAAAAAAAAATATTAAAATAAACCCTTCTTGTCTCTGGTCATACTTTGAAACATATATCTGAAAATTCATAGTTTGATATTTCTAGTAGCGATTCTGAGTAATCATTTCTGATGAAATTACTAATTAAAAGATCAAAAAACTTTATAACGTAGTTTAATAATCGACGAGATTCCACAGAGTACAGATTATCTATAGTCTATATCAAAACAGATGTGACACATTCTCCAATAGTGGTGTATGAATCGATAAAGTCAAATTTTAATATTTCAGGTGACACATTCTCCAATAGTGTTGTATGAATCGATAAAGTCAAATTTTAATATTTCAACAAAAAAAAGATGTATTAACCAAATCCATTTATTTTTAATAATCCATCGGGCAGTTACACAAACGTCCATTAAGGTTTAATGACGCCTTTAAGCACTAATGAATGTCAAATTTGTATGGATAATGTCACTTTAAACTAATGAAAAATTTAATGGACATTTGTGCAACTGGCTGTATATTACCAATCATATAAGTGGCTTAAGTGTTAATTTTAAAATCAGAGTCAAGATAGTGATTTATGGAGTTGTGTAAATTTTAAAGTCACAATCGCATAATGATTTGAATTATATAAATATCAATTTTTTCAAGCAAATAAATTATTATTATTATTAGAGAATTCCGATTAACGTCAAATAAGCGTTGTCGTTCATTAAATATCTTTCGAAATAATGCCGCGATCGTAATTGCTATCACATGTCAAATAGTTGTAACGTGAAGTTCGTGAATATCTTTGAAGTTCGTATATATTATACTAGCGGAAACCAGCAGCTCCGCCTGCGTGGTCCCTAAGGAACTGATATATTTACAATGAATAGTAATATAATAATAAAAAAATTATTTCTCTGTATCCCAGTTACAATTTTGTCTTATAGTTAGGCAGTTAAGTTAACTTAACTGCCTTAAGTTAAGTTAACTTAAGTTAAAATAAGGAAATATAAAGAAAGATGTTTACTCATATTAATAAAACACCTTGTGACAGGTATTTGTTGTCTTTTGAACTGTAAAAAACAATGTTATTGATAGGTAGGTAATATTCGATCAAATTTAAGTATGAGAAATTTTAAATTTATCTGACAATAGCTAACATATGCATAGATATTTTCTAAGAAATAGTAAACAACGGTTAGTATGGTAACGCTTTAATTCCCTATACAAACTTCCGCTTCCATTTTCACACCTTTGTTTGCTGTTTTTCTGAATGAAACGTAACCTATTTTTACCGCATATGGTTTAAAATTTGGTCTAAGTGTTTCGGTGCTTATTCGTTGCAAACAAACAACCAAATCTTTGTTCTTTATAAAATTGTGATATCAGTCATTTTCCCAAATGACCCTGTATAAATATATAACGCATAATTCGACCCTGTATATAAGATGTAATATCATATGCTAGAACTTCGTGGAATGGATTAGTTAAGTATATTATACAACTTTTACTATAGAAGCAACACTGGATTTACAAAAAATAATCAGCTGTTTCATACTGTCAACGATTGCGGGTAGTACAATTTTGTATGAATATTATATAGCTATATAGTCACCTGGTGAAGTCCGTCATCTCGAGCATGATCATGCACATGTGTTTGGCCAACATTATGATATCGTTCCCGGCGTCGTCCCACTTGGCCACTTCGTTGTCGAAGGTCATCTTCTCGCGCCTGAACAACTCCACTTGTTGGAGGATCTTCCGTTTGTCCTCCTCGGTCATTTTACGCATCGCTTCCTAAATATATAACGAGAGAATAACGTCATGGCATCACACCTTTGTACATTTTCTACATAGTTGTGACGTTGCAAGCCCCCACTCCTCAACTTTAATGCCTATTATCTATGCTCAATCTTGTGTTACATTGAATAATTATATAGATTTGATCGCATACGTTGCTCAGATTCCAAGATGAGTAGCTAAAGTATTATGAATTATCTGAGACAACGGGGGTACCACAACACCCAGACCCGAGACAATATGGAAAAGTCCATTCCCTACAATGACCGGACCGACAAACCAACTTGAGACCTCGGAGACGGCGACAACCTGAGCCCGTGGCGCGAGCCACTAACGACATAAAGTACCAGGCTAGCATAAACCGAAGGAGTATCTTACAGCGTAGCTCAACATATCAAGTCAAGCCCTTTGTTAGTATATCTTAATATATAATTAAACTGACTGTTTACCGCGACTTCGCCTGTTTAAATTATAGGCTATACTTCGCCCGCGTATATAGGTTTATAAATTTACCTTGAAACCGGCATGCGAGCAACTTTATAATAACATAAAGTACCAGGCTAGCATAAACCAAAAGAGTACCTTTCTATGTAAATCAACACTTCTATATGACTTAAGCTGAGCCCTTACATCTATGTTTGTGATATCTTTATTAATATTTTCGTGTGTACTGAATTATAATTAAACTAGCTGCCTGCCTGCGACCTTCGCCCGCGTATTTAAAGGCAACTTATATGCGATACTTTGAAGCCGTCACGCGACCCACTAACGACATGAAGTACCAGGCTAACATAAACCAAAAGATCTGGGTTAAGGCGGGCCCTTACTTCTTTGTTTGTGATATCTTTATAAATACTTTACTTAATATACAATTAAACTAGCTGTTTGCCCACGACTTCACCTACGTATATTTATAGGTACTTTTACTTATAAGCGATACCCTGAGACCGGCGTGTGAGCCTCTAACAACATAAAGTACCAGGCTAACATAAACCAAAAGAATATCTTACAGCGTTGCTCAACATTTCTATGTGAATTAATTATCTTTGTTTGTGATATGATATCTTTATGAATATTTTGTATGTACCAAATATATAATTAAACTAGCCGTTTCATTTAATTAATAATACAAATACAAATAACCGCCGATTGTACTATTTGTTCTATATTATTGTTTCCTATAATTGGTGTTTTTGTTCAATAAAGAATTATTCTATTCTATTCTAAACTATTCTATTATATTCTATTCTAACTTACCCTAGCGTTAGTGATGCCGCTGATGTCCGGATACTCATCAACTCCGTGCTCGCCAGTGTGAGCGCTCGCTGTTAATATTACATTTAATATATTATAACATCAATAATATTTAAAAGGAGCTCGATGGCACAGTGGTCAGAGCGCTCGGTCTGCGATACGGTTGCTAAGCAACTTTCGGCGGTGGTCGGTCACGGGATGGGTGACCAAAAAATAATTATCTCGAATTCCTCCGTATTACGGATGGCACGTTGAGCCGTTGGTCCCGACTGCGGACGCATTGGGACCGCGTGGTGGGGTCAAAGCCCACTCTCCCTATTCGATTTGATGGGTCCGAGCCACAACTGTCCTAACGGTAGTCTGATTCACGTACAAAATGTTATATACAATTTAAATATGAAAGTAACTATCTTCTATATCTTTATTTCAACGTATTTAGCTTGTTATTGACTTATAGAAAAAATAGTAAAAGCATCATGAATACAAAAACAAATAAGAAAAAAAAACTTATTTTTAAATAAATAAAAATTCCCAATCAAATCTTAGACAACCCTAGTCTTGATATAGATACAATCAACAACACATCAAGTTAACATAATTTCCTTAACTTTATTATAAATCTTAATTCACTGAGAGTTAAGCTCACAATCTAATAACTTGACGCTGCTGTGTGTACACCTCGTCTGTACGGCAATTTGGCTACTGTTTACATTATAGACGTGCTATCTACCTGAAGTCCAATATTAATACATATCACAAATTGATTATTTAAGAAGACATATCAACAATAATATTGAACTTCAGGTAGATAGTGCAATGGTAAAATATAAGTAGATGAAATTCTACCGAGATGACATTATAACATAAACATTAGCTGTATTGACCCGCTGGAATACTCACATCTGCTCCTCGTCTCCATGGTCATATCCTCGACCGGCTCGAATTCCGTGTCCGTGTCGAGATCGTCGCTGGTCTACAAGCATGCACGCGTGCAACATGTCACGTCACATGATGTAGTGTAACATGACACCACGTCACATCACATCATGCCATGTAACATGACATCATGTCACGTCACATCATGCCATGTAACATGACATCATGTCACATGATGTCGTGTAACATAACGTCACGGCAAGCGACATGTATATAAACAAAGGTTGTTGACATGATGAGAGTGTAACAACAATGGTTCATTAGGCCTATCATGTTTTATAGACGAAGAACTATATACCGTTTAAAAGTTAAAAACGACTTTATGATTATTGATTGGATTTTGGCGTCGTGTAAATCTATAGTATTCATTAGATAATAATCTATCTATCTATATCTTCACGCCTTATCCCTTTCGGGATTGGCAGAGAGAGAAAGAGGTGTACGCCACAAGGCGTGGTCCTTACAAGAGATAATCATGATCATATAATAATAATCAAAGTACTGAAGAAGTTCCTACTTACAGCTCAAACAGTTTAAAATTATCAAATCAAACTCACGCGGTGCCATTATATAAGGCAACGATTTACTTATTACACTCTCATTGTCATGAAAACAGGCCACAAAGCGTGTCAACTGGAATGTTTGAATACCATGTGTCGTGACGCTATGAACGGACAAACACATATGAACACCCAACGAATGGTTATGAAACGGACGAAACGCTGACAAAATTTACCAGTATCATTTGTATTATCATATTAAATTTTGACAAGCATTTTGAAAAGCATTCTGAACTCAATTTTATTGTTACACGATAAAATACTATTCTCTATATTTTTGCATATGCTCTTATTGAGAATTTAAACAGAATCCGACTGACAATAAACAAAGACATAAACTAATTTAAGATGAAATTTTAACGCTAAGAAACGGTACATAATATACATATTCCAACGTTTTACTCTGTGTTGGTCGAAACTTTGAAAAAACATTTCACTTATTCAGGGTAACATTTTCAGATATTTTCTGTATGCCAATCTATAAAGCACTAACTATGCTTTTATTTAAAAGATTATTAAATTTAATTATATTATCTCTGTCTCCATCGCGAAACTATATCATAGCTTCTTTCAATATGGATTGCCTGGCAGAAATCGCTGTCAAGCGATAAAGTCGCCGATGGCGCAAAATTAGTTTCCTTTTAAATCGTATTTTTTTTCTTTCAGATAAAAGTATACTTTGTCCGCGATCGTCCGTCATCCGATCAAAGGTTTATGATTCATTGTGGGATCTGGAGTTATGTATATATAAATTAGATCAGTCTAGTTTAACAATCTAGTGGAATTTCTGTTATGTAACGTAAACCGAGCTTAACGGACTTGTTCTCTAATTAGTCCGAGGCAATGACGGCCATGTTGTTTTGAGTAACAAGAAAAATTCCAAATCCTCAACATCCGAATCAACACGACACATGAATAGACCTAATTGGGGTAACTCCAAACTCCATATACTTTACAATTACGGACAATAAATTAGTTCAATTAAACTACATTACGGAAGCGGACATATTATTATCTTGCTATTATTATTTACGAATTATTCATATCGAATTTATTTGAAACAAATTTGCATTGAAAATAATACCGGTATTGTAATGTAGCTTAAAAATTATATGTGAAAATGTTATGTTAATTGGGTATACAATACTTGCTAGCAACTTTGTTACCGATATAAAAACTGACAACTCCATTTAAAGGAACAACGACTTTGAACAATAAATTATAACAATTTATCTTGTTGATTGTCCTTCTTAAATAAACAAATTAAAATAATAGTCTATTTTATTTGCAATTGTTTGATACATTAATGGAGTTTGTAATTTATAACTCATGTATTAATTTCCTTAGATGTATTTTCGGCATTGTCCAATTAGCTAATAATTTATTGTGTATTATTTATTAAGACCAATTAACAGTATTTAATATTTTCACAAATAAATTAATTAATGAGTAATATGTACTATATTAACACTCTCACAAAACAATGACAAATATGGGTATGAATGAACATACATCCCCGCGAAATATATTCACACACAACAATAAACAAGGCTATAAAAGCACCATAACAACACGTAACACCATGTAGATGCATCACATAATAAAAATGATATGATCACAATATACCTATTGAAAAAAACAACGTAATGACATAAAACCAAATAACAACATGCGAAAACACAACACAAGAAATTAATGACACGATAAATGCAACCACCAAATTGATAACGACATGTTGACGTGACACGTAACATGTCAAGGAAAGTGACAGCCAAACTGTTAAATGACATGTAACAATGTTACCTACATGTTACATAACGACGGACAAAGGACATGTATAGTTAACAACATACTGTTATTGACATGTTACAGCAAGCATTTTGCATACAAAGCGAGATTTTTTTTATTAATCTTACATTTGCTTCTTGTTTCGAGGGTGTAATGCTCGTCGAGCTCCACGTCCTCAGGGTCGAGATCTTCTTCGTCCTAATATTTATGTTCGATACATTAATTAACATGTAAAATCTGACATGTTGACTCATGAAAATGCAATTCACCGCATAGACAGAACGATATTATTTGATAATTACAAGTAATTTATAAAACGACATTTATAGATTGTCACAAACAATGTAGGAAAGCTGATTATAGACGAGAATATAAGATGTCTGTCGAAACTCAGAAATGATTGTATCTCGAAAATTCGCAACCTAAAATGTCCCCAATCGAGAGAAATACATAATTAAGCATCCATAGAAAACGTGGTAGGAAAACTTTGCCACTGTTAAATCATACATGTACGTAGTAAAATTTTAGACTAGAACATGTATAACATGACAAATGTTAACCGTGACGCCTGTCATAAAAAAGTGACACATGTTATAATTAACATGGAAATTTCGTCATATGAAATAGACACCTATCAATACAAACGTACAGAATGCATTGCGTATAGATATTACATATATAGGATATACTATCGCGGACATTTGCGCTCTTCCACTTCGCATCGATATTTGCTAGAACCTATCTCTTGCAGCGTGTACTCCCCACCCACTCACGCACTACTACCGATAACAATCAACTGTCCGTAAGTGCCGTGTACAAGGATCCATACTTGAATGAATAGTTTTTTGTTTTTAGTAATCTGCATTTCGCCCATTGTCAACGCATCTAATTGAGATGTTATATGTTTATATTAGGTAGTATGATAATTAGTAGTTCTAGTAGGTAGATATAGATATAGTCAAACAGTATATTACACAAGACTATATTATATTAATTTATATTACATTGCTATTAATATTACATTTGTTAAAATGTGTGATAAAAAATAATAATCTTTTTTTTTATTATTTTATATTGCTTTTTTACTATGTAATTTTTATTACGGATGCTTATAATTTATAATACATGATGATTATTTAATTGTAATAAATATAGTCAATTTTGGCCTATGTTATTTCGCGACTGGCTGGGGTTATGTAGGTGTAAACTGCAATGATGTTTCTTTTCTGCTACAGTAATAAAAGTTGTATTTATCTTTCATCCGCTTTTTTAGAATAATAAATAATTGTCACGTCAGATTGGCTAAGAATTATAATACTCGTTTTACTGTTATGCAGAGGGCCGATAAAATAATATTATCAAAACAATGTTTTAACTACATTTTCATTTATATTTAAACTTTATAATACCTACTCGGTTTGTTTCATATTTATAGAAAAAAATTATATTATATTATATATACACCTCAGGTAGGATTTGAACCTGCACCTCTGCCAAGTCGTGGACGCAGCCCGTGTAAGGTAAATGAACACTGCATTTTTTTTTTTTGCTTGTAAAAATAGGCCTATAACATCAAAGCAGTTGATTCAGACATCTTTACTGAAATATAGAATGGATAAATTTTGAAAGCCAATTTATCACAACTTAAAGCATACAAATTAATGTTTAAACACAACATATATTTATTTAATTGTCGGAAAGCTGAGAGCTTAACACCTAAGAATTAAAGTCAATAATTGTAAATCATAATTAGCAAGATAGTAGAATTAGAAAAACATTAAACTTTCCTGCTAATAATTAACGTATATACAATAAATAGTATATAATTCTTTTTCATTTTATAAAGTTTTTAATAGTAAAATTGTACTCCTATTATTAAGATAAAAATTTGCTGTAGATTTTGATTTAAATAAATAACTACATTTAAATACGTATTTACACAAAACATTTAAAAAGTGTTTTGAAATGGAATTAATGAGTTCATCAAAACAATTTTGCATTATTTAAAATACACACTTTATTTTTAACACCATTGATTTATTTTCTTTTTTTCAGAATATAAAATTATTTTTAATTTAACTAACAGGAATTTATTTTATTTATATTAATGAAACTTGCGTTAATAAAATATAATTATTTTTCTAGTCAAACCCACCGTTTACTCAATAATTATACCTCTAATAGCGATAATGCTCGTTATCAAAGCAGCGTTGAACAAATGAATCTCGAGAATAATTCATTGTATACGAGACAGACAATCTATTGATGAAACGGGTGAGGTTTTTACGGTAGCCTAAGCGCAAGTGTTTCTATCCTTATGGGTAGATGAGCGGCAATGTCCGTGATTGTACATTCGACCTCGAGCTTATTTCCAATTAGTGGGGAAAAAAATAACGCGGTACCCAATCTAAAAAAAATGGTCTTACTCTTCAGGCACCACGATCGTTTCTCTCCTAATCGAGCTTCCACTTAGTAAGCAACCGTATGTCTTCCATAAACTATATACGATATCTCTATAGACGACTTTCATAAGAATGTGACACAGAAAATACATCCGTGACGCATTTCATAATACAAATGACGCATCACGTAATACAAATACCACATTGCATAATACACGTGACGCATTTCACAATACATATGACGCATTACATAATTATACATGACGCATTTCATAATACACGTGACGCACGACACAATGAACTCGTGACGCGTGCAACTCACCCTGTTCATGAGCACGGCGCGCCGTATCTCCCTGACGGCGTCGTACACGAGCCTGGAGGCGTCTATGAAGTCGTTCTCGTCGAGGGCCGCGCCCGCGCCCCCCCCGAGGGCCGAAACGGCCGCGTCCACGCGGACCGCGAACTTGGACATCACTGCGGTGGTAACGTCATTGTGTTGGGTAACTCGTATCGTCGCAAGAATGAAAATTGGGACGCGGTTACTCAAAAAGGCACAAATCCAACCCACAAATCGGTCGAAAATGAGTCGAGTATACCAAAATGTCCATCAGGATATATACTTTCATATAGGAAAAAAGCTCTGAGCTGTATTAAATATTTGACTTTTTTTTTTAATTTTAGTTACCGTCCCACATGTTTGGTAGGTTCATATTTAGGTTCCGTGAAAACGACTTAAGCTACTAAGATCCATATAGTAAAATAGCAAATTAAAGGCACTAATCTCGGTTTAAAATCACAATAAAGGTTCAAAACACTTGAATCATTTTTGTTAAAAGGTAATTTTATTTAAATGTGTAGGATTTTAGATAGTGAGAATACATTTGACATTAAAAATTAAAACAATAAATTTAAAGAACCTTTGATAAATAGATTTTTCGATTAAATTTTGGCATTTCAGTTAATTATTCTATTGTTTCTTCATTCAGATCGTTTTTGAGATTTGTTTGTAATAATAAGGTAATGAAACCTTTATATTTTAATAAATATTGTTGGTTCTATTAAAATGACATTATAATAAGATAATGTAAGTGGTTTTCTATGCTATTAGATAAAACTATAATACTCAAAAGTGTTACATCATCACTCAAAAATATAATGTTACTGGCTGTTATTTTTTTACCGATTTTGAATTTGGCATGTTAGGCTTTTACCCGGAGTGAGTTCATACAAAACAATCAATGAATTTATTGAATTAGACTATTATATACCTATCATACATAATACATATTAAATTAGTAATTATATATGTATTGTTAAATTGAAATTATCTGTAAAAATTGTATTGTAATTATCTTATTTTTCTGTAAGTTTTGTGTGAAAAATTAAAGCTTATTATTATTATTATTTTAGCACAAAATTTACATTATTATTATTATTGGAAAAAATTTACTCTTCCCCCCCTCGACGATTCGATTCGGGAGGAGATTCTCCCCGGCAGAGGAGGCCAGACGGCCGGGGGTCAGGGCGACAAAGAGAGAAAACAAAATAAAAAAAAAATATTATTATTATTGTGTTAAGTTTAAGTTTATTTGTATCGCAAATTAATTTGTTTATATTTTCTCGTAATTTAGGGGACGAAACAATTACGTGCAACTGTCATTTCGCTATTTAAGGCGGGAAAAAAAACGATGCAGATTTTCAGCGAACTGAAAAGTTTTACTGTAAGCCGTAACTTCGTCTATTACATAATACAATGGTGACTGAAAATTATAGAAATATAAGGGTATTATTAAAAAAGTTACGCAACTTTTATTTTGTTTCAAAACTTGTAATAAACTGTAGGTAAATATGAATGTCGCCGTTCTCTTTTTCCTAGGTACTTTATATTTTAACTATTATATGCCTCTGATTTTTACATTTCAAAATGATATACAAATTTTTATATGTTAGTTTTCAATTCTTACCAAAACCCATCTAAAAATTGCAATTGTTAAAGAACTTTTCCTTTTCACATTTCTCATTAACTTTCAAACATATTTGCGTCTAACGTTTGCCTTTTACAATTCCAATTAACGTTAAATTTTATATCATACAAAATAATCGCGATAGCAATCGCTGTCAAATATAAATGAAATGAAATGAAAATATCTTTATTCAAGTAGGCTATTACAAGCACTTTTGAATCGTCCAAAAATATTTTTTCCCCTACCAATTGTTCAGGACGTCTCTTAGCTGACAAGAAGAACAAGCGAAAGAAACTTACCAGCTTTTTATCATAAGAATATATGAAGCGTGAATTTCGTGAATACCTTTCAAATGACAAAAGGGATCGCGATATATATTGAGATACACAATTAGCCCCTGTCCCACGCGCGTAGAGCGCGGTCCAGGCTCACAATTATTTTGAAAGAAAAGGGAAAGGTGTATAAACCGACAAACACACACATTCATAATATTAGTAATCATATTTCAGTCAATAGAACAGTCATATTAAAATTAGATTAATTGTTTTGTCTCAAACTTTACAAATATGATTGATGATAAATCTAATAGTGACGTACATTGTAATTGTAGGAAATGAGTAATGAGATTAAAATACTCGTATTAAAATTAGTGAAAGTTGTATTTATTATTGTGATAATACATATTATTTTGGTAATGACATGATTTATGTAAATGTCATTACTTATGATAAAGTACTGGTAAGTTTCTTTCGCTTGTTCTTCTTGTCAGCTAAAAGACGTCCTGAACAAGTGGTAGGGGAAAAATTGTTTGGACGAATCAAAAGTGCTTGTAATAAGCCTACTTGAATAAAGACATTTAATTTCATCTCAAATATCCTACATTATATAGTGATATCCTCACCCTGGTCCCGCAATACGGTAACAGCTTCCAGCACACGCTTGGTGTATATACAGGGCTCGTAGTTGTCCATCTCCTGCGTCACCACCGAGCACACCCTGTATAAACAATGGACGGTGAGTTAACAGTGAGTATGCGGGGAGTTAACCGTGAGTATGCGGTGAGTTAACCGTGAGTTATTCGTAAAGGCAGAGTCAACGGTAAACTAACAGATAGTTAACTGTGAGTCAATCGATAATCTGTGAGTAAACGGTGTATTATCAGTAAATTGCTAGTGAGCGGGAAGCTTCGTAAATGTACGGTAAGAATATACACAACATATTTAATAACTGATTTAGCGTAGATCAACTGTAGTATTCGTGTAATAAACTCACTGTAATAAAATTGAGAAACACTAATTTGGATAGCATATAAAAGATATACGTTTTGAATAAAGCTCGTACAAATTAAAATGATACCTTGACATTTTTGAAACACTAAAACAAATCCAAGGAAACGCATTTCTTTTAGATCATTCAATATGCAAACAGAGATAGGAGCTGACGTTAACTCTAATCTATAATATATAAAATAAATATATATAACTCAAAGGTGACTGACTGACATAGTGATCTATCAACGCACAGCCCAAACCACTGGACGGATCGGGCTGAAATTTGGCATGCAGGTAGATGTTATGTAGTAGGCATCCGCTAAGAAAGGATTTTGATCAATTCTATCCCTTGGTCAATTCATCAATTGATTAAAATAGGGGATGATTTTACTCAATATTATTAATAAATATTCGTTAGAAATGCTGTCGCGAGTAAAAGCTAGTGCACAGATAATTTCAAATTTATCGAATTTTTGTATTCGAATATTATTTAACAGAATAGGCCCTCAGGTGCCATGTTCATTATGTGTATCTGTTGGCTAACGAGTCTTTATTTATATAGTGTATGTACGTCTGTATGTACGGTACATAGTTACCTGTTGGCTCGCCCCCTGATGGCCCCCGCGGTCCTCTCCAGCGAGTCGGGGTCCCCCTCCTGCAGCGCCACCACGCACTTGTTCACGTCCTCCAGGATATGGTTCTCTGCCATTGATAAATATATAATAATAAAAAAAACTGACAGAGAATTCCTGAAGCATTAAGCCCTTCTTTACGCGGTTGTGCATGTATAAATAATGTGTTATAATTAAATATCACATCAACACAAATATACTTTTTCAATAATTTATTTAAATATTATTACTAGATTAGTTACATAGTTGAGATAATCCATCAGTGAGTGTCATATGAGTGTGTGAGTTAGTTAGTAGAATGTGAAGTCAGTAAATGGTGAATCGGTGGCGTAGTGGATAAGCGCCGCGTCCCGTGATAGTTGCTGTTGAACAACTTTCGCAAGGGTCTGTTACGGGATGGGTGACCGGAAAATTATTAATCCGAGCTATTCCACGATTTGGAAGGCACCGTCGGTTCCGGTTGCATTTGCAGGACGTTAATACCCTCCAATGGGCTCATGGGCTCCTTAATCATCCATAAGAAAGGGTAAGGACATAAAAAATCAAATCAAAATTTATTCAGTCTAAGCTTGTTACAAGCACTTGTGAAAGTCAAAAGTTATGCCATCGGTTCGTAAATCTACAGCGGGCGACCTTTTACCGAGAACCGGCAAGAAACTCAGCAAGGGCTGGTTTTTTTCTCCTTTTTTTTATTTCATATAGAGTAGTAAAGATTGAATAATTACATCATTAATATATGATGTAATTTTCCATCAAAATATTAGAAAATATAAAAAAAGGGCTGATGGTGACAATGAGTTAGTAAATATTCAACTAGTGTTCAGTGTTAGAGATCAGTTGGAGTAAATATACGCTGAGTCTGCACTTAGTATTAGTCAAAATTCATATTATTAATGTTCAGGCATAGTATTTCTCAATATGTGGGTAAACTACAAATCCACGACCCAACGGTGACGGATGCCGCGGCCTGTAAAAAGGAAAAAAAAAGTCTCTCGAATTTTCGGTGGCGCGAAACATACATGAGTGTAATAAAATTATCGTTGTTGAAGTTAACGGTTTTCGGTGTGATATATCGGATTATTTTTATTATTTTGTGTTTAATTGTGAATAAACATCGCAAAGAACAGTTTTCGCCATACATAAGACGATTGCAGTTTATTTGGAAACCAGTGCACTACTGTGAGCTTTGGCCAGTCGATCGGTGATCGACCCGTTATCTCCTGAAGCTGTCGGTGTTAAGGTGAGTGATTTACTTCTTAGTGGGGAATCCTATGTCTGGACAAAATAAATTACCAATAGAAACGATAGGATCGGCGACCGAATAAAATAACTTGTGCTCATGGGCTATTGAAGGTTTTCCCGCGAACAATTAAACAGAGACTTGGCAAAGGTTAACCTAGTACGAGGTTCTACGGGAGTAATATTTAATCCTAGAAGGTAGTAGGTTTGCTTATTGTCTGTATAATATGAATTTGTACTAATAATAAAATTGCAATTTTAACGTAAATTTACTCTGACGCTAAACCTTGTTTATTAATAGCACTGCCAATGAACAGTGAGTGAGTGATGAGTGAGTGGTAAGTGAGTGTTCAGCGAGTGAGTGTACCGACCGCTGACGGCGAGGAAGTCGTCTATGGTGGTGATGTCGTCGACGGCGTCCGTCAGCAGTTTGACGGCTTGCTCCCACGCGCGGGAAAATGCCGTCGCGTTCTCTTGAGCGACTCGCGATCGAGGCCGAGCGGCTAACACTCGCGCCGCGTTTATCACCTACATAAATATAATATAATAAATACAATAGGTAGAAAGGTAACGACGAGATGAGAATGGTAAGGACGAGATGAGAATGGCAAGGACGAGATGAGAATATTAACGACGAGATGAGAATGGTAAGGGTGAGATGAGAATGGTAAGAACGAGATGAGAATGGTAAAGACGAGTTTAGAATGGTAAGATGAGAATGGTAACGACGAGATGAGAGTGGTAGGGCGAGTTGAGAATGGTAAGGACAAGATATAAACGGGAGGCACGACAACTCAACTCAACGAGTGAAAATAAAGTATCTATATACTGACCTGTGGACAGAGCGCCTCGATCTGTCCGGCCGCGTGTCTCACCATCTTGACGCCATCTTCGTTATTGGACATGGAGCAAACCAGATTGGCGACCTGTATATGATAATATAACACTATTAAAATTCAAACTCATTTATTTTAACACAGTCACATCACATGCTGTTAATGAAATATATGATAAATAACACACAAACATAACTTAATACAATAATAGTACAGTGCAACAATTGGCGGTATTATCGTTAACAGCGATCTCTAACAGAATCATCGGATGGAGAGAACCAAACACAGTTAAAACGGCAAATAAGCGTTAGGCGCCGATATATTTGAAAGTATGCAAACTAGTTTACCTAAGATTTTAATTATTTTTCTAGATCGTTCAAAAAATTATTCGTTCTAAGAGGGATTGCGACTTTAAAGTTATATCATCCTATAAATCGCTTTCGCAATCGTTGTACCTTTATTGGATGGAAGAGATAGTCGTTCTGCAATAAGCCCGCCTATTGGACATCTAATTGTAGTGTCTTGTCCTTTAATTTGTGCATATTATTACTTTTTTGTGCAATGAAATGTATATTTCGTCCGTTTATCACGTGAGGCTCGAAAAAGGGGGAGGGGGGGAGAGCTTTCCTCAAAGAACACGAAATTAAGTTGTTTTTTGTAGGTACCAAAATATACACATGATTTGGGTGGAGTCTTAAACCATCAAATCAAAATTGTTTATTCGGTTTAGGCTTTTACAGAGCACTTGTGAAAGTCGAAAACTACGCCATCGGTTCGCAAAACTACGGCGGGAGACCTTGTACCGAGAAGAACCGGCAAGAAACTCAGCAAGGGTTGCTTTTTTCTCCCTGTTGTATTTCACACAGAGAAGTCTTATTGAAAAGTGACTTCATTAGAATATGAAGTCACATTCCATTACAATATTAGAAAGTAAATACAATAAAGTTAAAATATCTAACACCATGCCTTTTTGTCATTTAGATATTCCTTAACGGTATAATATCCTTTACTTTGTAGACAATTTTGAATATGACTTTTAAAATGATTTATTGGCAAATCTAATACATCAATGGGGATATTGTTAAAGTATTAACCCATGAAAGACCATGACCATGTATCAAGTCAAGTTAAAAATGCTGGGAAAAAAACCATCAACTAACTATCGAGCGGCCGCTTATACAAATGACCCTGTATAAACGAATGAACCTGTATAAGACGGCTGAAAAAAACCATCACGTGATTAACGGATGGCCGATTGTTAATTACATAAATTAATTACAATAAGTGAATTTGAAAATTTATTGCAATTAATTTAATGCAATCCAATTCTATTCTTTATTTTATGCATGAAAAATAAATATAGTATTATGCAACCTCTATAATTGTCACGATAAGGCCACAAAGATTTGGTTTACAATCTAGTTTATATAAAAAAAAATTACTGTAAATAGGGAATATGCAAGTTTTTGGAAAATGTTTTTAATTGATAATTTACATCGATATATAACTGTAAAAAAATACCCCGGCACCGAAAAACTAACGCCGAAGCCGCTGGCGGAAAGCTAGTATGTTATCAACTCTTAATCACTTAAAATGGGTTGTAAATCTGCGGACTAAATCGCCGGCGACGACTAGTAAATAAATAAATAAAAATAAATAACCCTGTATAAACGAATGCCCCTGTATAAGCGAATGCCCCTGTATAACCGAATGCCCCCGTATAGTATACAGCTCACCTCGACCAGTTTGTTGGCGTGCTCGGTGAACACGAGCGCGTACTCCTCCACCTCCTTCTCGTGGCCGCCGCGCGCCGCCTCCATCAGCACCAGCAGCGGCACGTTGCTCTCCAGGAAACTGGCACAGCGACACGATACAATATATACTGTAGTGTAGTATAGTGTAGTGTAGTGTGGTGCCCACCTGTCGGACACGTGGTCCACGACGGCCTTGCGCAGCTGCCGGCGCAGGTCGCGCGTCTGGTGTAGTGTAGTGTAGTGTAGTGTAGTGTAGTGTAGTGTAGTGTGGTGCCCACCTGTCGGACACGTGGTCCACGACGGCCTTGCGCAGCTGCCGGCGCAGGTCGCGCGTCTGGTGTAGTGTAGTGTAGTGTAGTGTAGTGTAGTGTAGTGTGGTGTGGTGCCCACCTGTCGGACACGTGGTCCACGACGCCCTTGCGCAGCTGCCGGCGCAGATCGCGCGTCTGGTGTAGTGTAGTGTAGTGTGGTGCCCACCTGTCGGACACGTGGTCCACGACGGCCTTGCGCAGCTGCCGGCGCAGGTCGCGCGTCTGGTGTAGTGTAGTGTAGTGTAGTGTAGTGTAGTGTGGTGCCCACCTGTCGGACACGTGGTCCACGACGGCCTTGCGCAGCTGCCGGCGCAGGTCGCGCGTCTGGTGTAGTGTAGTGTAGTGTAGTGTAGTGTAGTGTAGTGTAGTGTAGTGTAGTGTGGTGCCCACCTGTCGGACACGTGGTCCACGACGGCCTTGCGCAGCTGCCGGCGCAGGTCGCGCGTCTGGTGTAGTGTAGTGTAGTGTAGTGTAGTGTAGTGAAGTGTAGTGTGGTGTGGTGCCCACCTGTCGGACACGTGGTCCACGACGGCCTTGCGCAGCTGCCGGCGCAGGTCGCGCGTCTGGTGTAGTGTAGTGTAGTGTAGTGTAGTGTGGTGCCCACCTGTCGGACACGTGGTCCACGACGGCCTTGCGCAGCTGCCGGCGCAGGTCGCGCGTCTGGTGTAGTGTAGTGTAGTGTAGTGTAGTGTAGTGTAGTGTAGTGTAGTGTAGTGTAGTGTGGTGCCCACCTGTCGGACACGTGGTCCACGACGGCCTTGCGCAGCTGCCGGCGCAGGTCGCGCGTCTGGTGTAGTGTAGTGTAGTGTAGTGTAGTGTAGTGTAGTGTAGTGTAGTGTAGTGTAGTGTGGTGTGGTGCCCACCTGTCGGACACGTGGTCCACGACGGCCTTGCGCAGCTGCCGGCGCAGATCGCGCGTCTGGTGTAGTGTAGTGTAGTGTGGTGCCCACCTGTCGGACACGTGGTCCACGACGGCCTTGCGCAGCTGCCGGCGCAGGTCGCGCGTCTGGTGTAGTGTAGTGTAGTGTAGTGTAGTGTAGTGTGGTGCCCACCTGTCGGACACGTGGTCCACGACGGCCTTGCGCAGCTGCCGGCGCAGGTCGCGCGTCTGGTGTAGTGTAGTGTAGTGTAGTGTAGTGTAGTGTAGTGTAGTGTAGTGTGGTGCCCACCTGTCGGACACGTGGTCCACGACGGCCTTGCGCAGCTGCCGGCGCAGGTCGCGCGTCTGGTGTAGTGTAGTGTAGTGTAGTGTAGTGTAGTGTAGTGTAGTGAAGTGTAGTGTGGTGTGGTGCCCACCTGTCGGACACGTGGTCCACGACGGCCTTGCGCAGCTGCCGGCGCAGGTCGCGCGTCTGGTGTAGTGTAGTGTAGTGTAGTGTAGTGTAGTGTAGTGTAGTGTAGTGTAGTGTAGTGTGGTGCCCACCTGTCGGACACGTGGTCCACGACGGCCTTGCGCAGCTGCCGGCGCAGGTCGCGCGTCTGGTGTAGTGTAGTGTAGTGTAGTGTAGTGTAGTGTAGTGTAGTGTAGTGTAGTGTAGTGTAGTGTGGTGCCCACCTGTCGGACACGTGGTCCACGACGGCCTTGCGCAGCTGCCGGCGCAGGTCGCGCGTCTGGTGTAGTGTAGTGTAGTGTAGTGTAGTGTAGTGTAGTGTAGTGTAGTGTAGTGTAGTGTGGTGTGGTGCCCACCTGTCGGACACGTGGTCCACGACGGCCTTGCGCAGCTGCCGGCGCAGATCGCGCGTCTGGTGTAGTGTAGTGTAGTGTGGTGCCCACCTGTCGGACACGTGGTCCACGACGGCCTTGCGCAGCTGCCGGCGCAGGTCGCGCGTCTGGTGTAGTGTAGTGTAGTGTAGTGTAGTGTAGTGTGGTGCCCACCTGTCGGACACGTGGTCCACGACGGCCTTGCGCAGCTGCCGGCGCAGGTCGCGCGTCTGGTGTAGTGTAGTGTAGTGTAGTGTAGTGTAGTGTAGTGTAGTGTAGTGTGGTGCCCACCTGTCGGACACGTGGTCCACGACGGCCTTGCGCAGCTGCCGGCGCAGGTCGCGAGTCTGGTGTAGTGTAGTGTAGTGTAGTGTAGTGTAGTGTAGTGTAGTGAAGTGTAGTGTGGTGTGGTGCCCACCTGTCGGACACGTGGTCCACGACGGCCTTGCGCAGCTGCCGGCGCAGGTCGCGCGTCTGGTGTAGTGTAGTGTAGTGTAGTGTAGTGTAGTGTAGTGTGGTGCCCACCTGTCGGACACGTGGTCCACGACGGCCTTGCGCAGCTGCCGGCGCAGGTCGCGCGTCTGGTGTAGTGTAGTGTAGTGTAGTGTAGTGTAGTGTAGTGTAGTGTAGTGTGGTGTGGTGCCCACCTGTCGGACACGTGGTCCACGACGGCCTTGCGCAGCTGCCGGCGCAGATCGCGCGTCTGGTGTAGTGTAGTGTAGTGTGGTGCCCACCTGTCGGACACGTGATCCACGACGGCCTTGCGCAGCTGCCGGCGCAGGTCGCGCGTCTGGTGTAGTGTAGTGTAGTGTAGTGTAGTGTAGTGTAGTGTGGTGCCCACCTGTCGGACACGTGGTCCACGACGGCCTTGCGCAGCTGCCGGCGCAGGTCGCGCGTCTGGTGTAGTGTAGTGTAGTGTAGTGTAGTGTAGTGTAGTGTAGTGTGGTGCCCACCTGTCGGACACGTGGTCCACGACGGCCTTGCGCAGCTGCCGGCGCAGGTCGCGCGTCTGGTGTAGTGTAGTGTAGTGTAGTGTAGTGTAGTGTAGTGTAGTGTAGTGTAGTGTAGTGTAGTGTAGTGTAGTGTAGTGTAGTGAAGTGTAGTGTGGTGTGGTGCCCACCTGTCGGACACGTGGTCCACGACGGCCTTGCGCAGCTGCCGGCGCAGGTCGCGCGTCTGGTGTAGTGTAGTGTAGTGTAGTGTAGTGTGGTGCCCACCTGTCGGACACGTGGTCCACGACGGCCTTGCGCAGCTGCCGGCGCAGGTCGCGCGTCTGGTGTAGTGTAGTGTAGTATAGTGTAGTGTAGTGTAGTGTAGTGTAGTGTGGTGCCCACCTGTCGGACACGTGGTCCACGACGGCCTTGCGCAGCTGCCGGCGCAGGTCGCGCGTCTGGTGTAGTGTAGTGTAGTGTAGTGTAGTGTAGTGTAGTGTAGTGTAGTGTAGTGTAGTGTAGTGTGGTGGTGGGTGCCCACCTGTCGGACACGTGGTCCACGACGGCCTTGCGCAGCTGCCGGCGCAGATCGCGCGTCTGGTGTAGTGTAGTGTAGTGTGGTGCCCACCTGTCGGACACGTGGTCCACGACGGCCTTGCGCAGCTGCCGGCGCAGGTCGCGCGTCTGGTGTAGTGTAGTGTAGTGTAGTGTAGTGTAGTGTAGTGTAGTGTGGTGCCCACCTGTCGGACACGTGGTCCACGACGGCCTTGCGCAGCTGCCGGCGCAGGTCGCGCGTCTGGTGTAGTGTAGTGTAGTGTAGTGTAGTGTAGTGTGGTGCCCACCTGTCGGACACGTGGTCCACGACGGCCTTGCGCAGCTGCCGGCGCAGGTCGCGCGTCTGGTGTAGTGTAGTGTAGTGTAGTGTAGTGTAGTGTAGTGTGGTGCCCACCTGTCGGACACGTGGTCCACGACGGCCTTGCGCAGCTGCCGGCGCAGGTCGCGCGTCTGGTGTAGTGTAGTGTAGTGTAGTGTAGTGTGGTGCCCACCTGTCGGACACGTGGTCCACGACGGCCTTGCGCAGCTGCCGGCGCAGGTCGCGCGTCTGGTGTAGTGTAGTGTAGTGTAGTGTAGTGTGGTGCCCACCTGTCGGACACGTGGTCCACGACGGCCTTGCGCAGCTGCCGGCGCAGGTCGCGCGTCTGGTGTAGTGTAGTGTAGTATAGTGTAGTGTAGTGTAGTGTAGTGTGGTGCCCACCTGTCGGACACGTGGTCCACGACGGCCTTGCGCAGCTGCCGGCGCAGGTCGCGCGTCTGGTGTAGTGTAGTGTAGTGTAGTGTGGTGCCCACCTGTCGGACACGTGGTCCACGACGGCCTTGCGCAGCTGCCGGCGCAGGTCGCGCGTCTGGTGTAGTGTAGTGTAGTGTAGTGTAGTGTAGTGTAGTGTAGTGTGGTGTGGTGCCCACCTGTCGGACACGTGGTCCACGACGGCCTTGCGCAGCTGCCGGCGCAGATCGCGCGTCTGGTGTAGTGTAGTGTAGTGTGGTGCCCACCTGTCGGACACGTGGTCCACGACGGCCTTGCGCAGCTGCCGGCGCAGGTCGCGCGTCTGGTGTAGTGTAGTGTAGTGTAGTGTAGTGTAGTGTGGTGCCCACCTGTCGGACACGTGGTCCACGACGGCCTTGCGCAGCTGCCGGCGCAGGTCGCGCGTCTGGTGTAGTGTAGTGTAGTGTAGTGTAGTGTAGTGTGGTGCCCACCTGTCGGACACGTGGTCCACGACGGCCTTGCGCAGCTGCCGGCGCAGGTCGCGCGTCTGGTGTAGTGTAGTGTAGTGTAGTGTAGTGTAGTGTAGTGTAGTGTAGTGTGGTGCCCACCTGTCGGACACGTGGTCCACGACGGCCTTGCGCAGCTGCCGGCGCAGGTCGCGCGTCTGGTGTAGTGTAGTGTAGTGTAGTGTAGTGTAGTGTAGTGTGGTGCCCACCTGTCGGACACGTGGTCCACGACGGCCTTGCGCAGCTGCCGGCGCAGGTCGCGCGTCTGGTGTAGTGTAGTGTAGTGTAGTGTAGTGTAGTGTAGTGTAGTGTAGTGTGGTGCCCACCTGTCGGACACGTGGTCCACGACGGCCTTGCGCAGCTGCCGGCGCAGGTCGCGCGTCTGGTGTAGTGTAGTGTAGTGTAGTGTAGTGTAGTGTAGTGTAGTGTGGTGCCCACCTGTCGGACACGTGGTCCACGACGGCCTTGCGCAGCTGCCGGCGCAGGTCGCGCGTCTGGTGTAGTGTAGTGTAGTGTAGTGTAATGTAGTGTGGTGCCCACCTGTCGGACACGTGGTCCACGACGGCCTTGCGCAGCTGCCGGCGCAGGTCGCGCGTCTGGTGTAGTGTAGTGTAGTGTAGTGTAGTGTAGTGTAGTGTAGTGTAGTGTGGTGCCCACCTGTCGGACACGTGGTCCACGACGGCCTTGCGCAGCTGCCGGCGCAGGTCGCGCGTCTGGTGTAGTGTAGTGTAGTGTAGTGTAGTGTAGTGTAGTGTAGTGTGGTGCCCACCTGTCGGACACGTGGTCCACGACGGCCTTGCGCAGCTGCCGGCGCAGGTCGCGCGTCTGGTGTAGTGTAGTGTAGTGTAGTGTAGTGTAGTGTGGTGCCCACCTGTCGGACACGTGGTCCACGACGGCCTTGCGCAGCTGCCGGCGCAGGTCGCGCGTCTGGTGTAGTGTAGTGTAGTGTAGTGTAGTGTAGTGTAGTGTAGTGTAGTGTAGTGTAGTGTAGTGTAGTGTGGTGCCCACCTGTCGGACACGTGGTCCACGACGGCCTTGCGCAGCTGCCGGCGCAGGTCGCGCGTCTGGTGTAGTGTAGTGTAGTGTAGTGTAGTGTAGTGTAGTGTGGTGCCCACCTGTCGGACACGTGGTCCACGACGGCCTTGCGCAGCTGCCGGCGCAGGTCGCGCGTCTGGTGTAGTGTAGTGTAGTGTAGTGTAGTGTAGTGTAGTGTAGTGTGGTGCCCACCTGTCGGACACGTGGTCCACGACGGCCTTGCGCAGCTGCCGGCGCAGGTCGCGCGTCTGGTGTAGTGTAGTGTAGTGTAGTGTAGTGTAGTGTAGTGTGGTGTAGTGTGGTGCCCACCTGTCGGACACGTGGTCCACGACGGCCTTGCGCAGCTGCCGGCGCAGGTCGCGCGTCTGGTGTAGTGTAGTGTAGTGTAGTGTAGTGAAGTGTAGTGTGGTGCCCACCTGTCGGACACGTGGTCCACGACGGCCTTGCGCAGCTGCCGGCGCAGGTCGCGCGTCTGGTGTAGTGTAGTGTAGTGTAGTGTAGTGTAGTGTAGTGTAGTGTGGTGCCCACCTGTCGGACACGTGGTCCACGACGGCCTTGCGCAGCTGCCGGCGCAGGTCGCGCGTCTGGTGTAGTGTAGTGTAGTGTAGTGTAGTGTAGTGTAGTGTAGTGTGGTGCCCACCTGTCGGACACGTGGTCCACGACGGCCTTGCGCAGCTGCCGGCGCAGGTCGCGCGTCTGGTGTAGTGTAGTGTAGTGTAGTGTAGTGTAGTGTAGTGTGGTGCCCACCTGTCGGACACGTGGTCCACGACGGCCTTGCGCAGCTGCCGGCGCAGGTCGCGCGTCTGGTGTAGTGTAGTGTAGTGTAGTGTAGTGTGGTGTAGTGTGGTGCCCACCTGTCGGACACGTGGTCCACGACGGCCTTGCGCAGCTGCCGGCGCAGGTCGCGCGTCTGGTGTAGTGTAGTGTGGTGTAGTGTAGTGTAGTGTAGTGTAGTGTGGTGCCCACCTGTCGGACACGTGGTCCACGACGGCCTTGCGCAGCTGCCGGCGCAGGTCGCGCGTCTGGTGTAGTGTAGTGTAGTGTAGTGTAGTGTAGTGTAGTGTAGTGTGGTGCCCACCTGTCGGACACGTGGTCCACGACGGCCTTGCGCAGCTGCCGGCGCAGGTCGCGCGTCTGGTGTAGTGTAGTGTAGTGTAGTGTAGTGTAGTGTAGTGTAGTGTGGTGCCCACCTGTCGGACACGTGGTCCACGACGGCCTTGCGCAGCTGCCGGCGCAGGTCGCGCGTCTGGTGTAGTGTAGTGTAGTGTAGTGTAGTGTAGTGTAGTGTAGTGTAGTGTGGTGCCCACCTGTCGGACACGTGGTCCACGACGGCCTTGCGCAGCTGCCGGCGCAGGTCGCGCGTCTGGTGTAGTGTAGTGTAGTGTAGTGTAGTGTAGTGTAGTGTAGTGTGGTGCCCACCTGTCGGACACGTGGTCCACGACGGCCTTGCGCAGCTGCCGGCGCAGGTCGCGCGTCTTGCGGCACATGTGCTCGATGGCGCGCTCCAGCCCCTCCGACTGCTCCGCCTTGCCGGCCTTGTTGGCAAATGTAGGACAATACGATACTATTTAGAATATTATCTCTCTGCCTTCAAATTGGATCACAAATTCAATGTTTCTTTGATTTAGACACAAAGCAGGTGAACGGAGTGGAAGATTAAAAGATATGAATAAAACAAGAATAATGCCATCCAACAATCGGTTACGTAATTAATATACATATACAAGGTGTTAGGAAAACGCTTCCGAATCTTTAACATGGTTATTATACCATATTAATGGAGTCCTACAAAAATATTTGTTTACTTGAATAATTAGTATTTAACGAAATCGTATTTTCTAAGCACGCAATGTAAAACGTACAAATACACGGGTGAACGACCGCGCGGCGCGAGCGCTTTTGATAGTTGCACACATGCATAAACGAGCACACACAAACACACACAGAGACGATCGTAAGTACTACGTACTACGTAAAGTAATTTATTACAATAACCTTTAATTTTATTATAAGTAACGATTAATTTAACCAGTTAAACTTAACATCATGATTTTTATTTTAATGCAAAAACGTACTTACCTGTTCATGTTCTCCGCGGTCTAACTAAGTGTGGCTCGAATTGTGCCCCATTCATCTCAACACAAATTCGAGCCCGTCGCCGCGTCTCTTCGTGAAGTCGAGGCATGAGAGTTGAGTCCTCGATACAACTCGTTCTTATTGTCTCGAATGCACTCACAATTCTTGCCCGCATTTCCTCAGCACTGTCACAAACTCTATTGAACACTTTTTCTTTAACACACCCCCACAAAAAAAAGTCCAAAGGTGTCAAATCAGGAGATCGTGGTGGCCAGGCTTGCGGTCCTAATCGCCCGATCCAACGGTCACCAAATAGTTCAGTGAGACGCTCACGTACCGGCCGTACCACATGCGGCGGTGCGCCATCGTGTTGAAACCAAGCCCTTCTTAGCTCAGCTAATGATATGCCTTCAAGAATTTCATCAAGGCTCTCATTAATGAACCTAAGATACCCAGCTCCGTCAAGTCGTTGTGGTAGAAACACCGGCCCAAAGATAACATTGTTGAAGACGCCAGCCCAAACGTTGACCGACCATCGGGTTTGGTGGCCAGTCTCTTGAGTGGCACGTGGATTGGTTTCAGACCATAAATGTGAATTTCGTCTATTCCACATGCCGTTCCTTGTGAATGTAGATTCATCTGTCCAGATAACATGCTGAATAAATCCTGGAAGACGCTGTTGTTGATCCAACAACCAACGGCAGAAAGTGCGACGACGGGGTAGGTCTTCGGGTATCAAAGCTTGCACTTTATGAATTTTGTAAGGCCGCATTCTGTTTCTTCGCAAAACTTTGTACACCGTCCAATGCGAAACTGAGGGCCCATTTGGCCGCTGCAGTAACTTCGCAGCAGTCCTCGTGCCCAAACGGGGGTTGCGTTGGATCACATCGAGAATACGCTCCTCGGCTGCAATGTCTATTGGTCGCCCACCGCCGACCGCCACCGGAACGATCGGTTGATTCTCCAACAGTCGTTGAAACGCAGCAGTAATGGTTCGAGAGTCTCCTGGATGATGCACATTAGGAAATCTTTCCCGGTAAATTCTCAAAGCTAGAGAAGCATTGCCACGTGCTTCTCCTAAACACATAACCATGTTCCCATACTCACGAGCACTGTACACATACGCATTAGGCATGATGAGATGCACTTATTGTCTAATAAAACTTAAAATAAACACTAAATAAATAAACCTAACACGCTCAACTAAAAACTATGATAACTAATTTAACGAAATAAACTTTAAAATACGCATTCGCAAACCGAGATGGAAAGTTTTTTGCCACTGGTCGGCCTCATGCCTCGCTCATATCAAAGAAGCCGCGATCATTCGTTCTTCAGTTCTTCCTACTGAATATTCGAGTGTTGCAACTTTTTTCACCAAATTCCCAAAATTGTTTTAGAAATGAAATCTGCAATTGAATGGATTGTGCATTACGTGTTCGATCAAATTTATGTTTTAACATTGTGAATTATTACAAGAACTGATATCGTAAGTAATTTTTAATAATACCGAAATAAACCAAATGAAAATTGTCTGAAAGTGTACGCTATACTAAATTATTTTTATGACAAAATAAGTAAAATGTTTGAAAGAATGTTGTGCATCATTAATAATTGTTTTCACCGTATCCTAATAAATAAAAGTAAGACAGAGAAATTATTATCCGGGTACCGTTTTTGTTAACCGATTGGCAGGAACATTGGCTAACGTAACTTAACCAACCTTATTTGCGACGCTCTTAACTTATTGTTATACGAATAAATTTTTAAAAGTGATTAATGTTATTTCAATAACATCAACTTCAATTAAAAAAAAAAATTTTAATAATACCATGTAATCAAAAATATTAAAAAGATAGATAGATATTTAAAAGATAGCTTACCTTTCTTTAATATCATACAATTTTTATGGGATTTATCCCGTAAAAAAATTACCCAATTAAGGGAAAAAATTAGAGCTGGCAGCACGTGTAGCGGCAGCATGTCTCAGAAACCGGAAGCGGACGGACCGGAAAAGTGAAGCGGCATCTTTTATAAACACACTCACCGGTCACTGCGGTTCGCAATGATATCTAGGGCTGCCACTCATTTCACTTAGCAACTTTAATAGTAATTAATTATGTGTTTAGATTTATAAATAAAGTTTGTCGTAAAAGTACTAAGTGAAGTTTTACAATTCAACATCGCGTTTAATCATGAATAACCCGATAGGATTATACTATTGGGTTAGTCATGCAAAGTAAGTATTTATTAAGAGAAACAACTATTCCGCTTTTTTATAGTTTTCAAATTGAAACAAGAGAAATAATTATGCTAAAATTGAATCGGGAAAAAATTCAATTGGGACTCCCAATAGTTTTTCATAAAGTTTACTTTTTTAATGATTTCACACACACACACACACACTTCTGGAGAAATGAAGTTTCTTATACATTTAGATTTTGATGAAATAAAAATGATTTAACACCTTCCCCTCATTTTAATGAAATGTATTTATCTGATCTTTTTGTGTTTTATAAAACCTAAATAAATTACTATGCGAGTTAAAAGATATCGTTATTAGTTACATGCTCTGAATAAAATCAAATGATTTTTGTCTTAAACTTTTCTGCGCTAACGTAAAAAAAAACTCATTAAAATAAAGCTCACATTTTAAAGACAAGTAAATAAAAAAGTGCACTTATCAAAATCATGTAATGTAAGTTTTATTTTTAAAAATTTACAAAGATAAAAATTTTGTAAATACTAGAGTTACTAAACCGTTTTGAAATGTTTAGTCGAAACAAATGTTTTCCAGAAGAACATGCATTTTATCTAGTAGGTTATTCAAAAACGATATTTACTCATTAAAAAGTGGCACCCCTTAACACGGAAACACTACCGATTGATTTTGCTTTACACTACTAGATGGCGCTGCATCTATCATTCTCATTCGCTATATCATCAAAACCGCCGCGATTTGCCGCTAGATGTATCTAGAAGTTTACGAGCTTGGCCTGCAGTATCTTCGCTCTCGTTTTTACTTATTGTTATTGCGTGAAAGGGAATGATCATCAATAAATAACAATTTGAAAAAATAACAAAACGCCGTTTTAAAACTACTTTTAGTAATTGCGTTTTCATTGCATTTTCTTAATAAAACACAGGAAAATGGGTACCTAAACTAGCAACGTAGAGAACTAAGAGCTTTTCGTCGCTAGATGTCGCTGAAGTTTCTCACTCGTATCTTCTGTCTCTTTTCATTCTACCAGTGGTGAAGGAAAAAGAATGAAAGTGCCCTTTGAACGTACCAAAGGTTATTGAACTCTCGGGGTCGTCTACCGCCGATCAGCTGATTTTTTCGAGTTTTAATTACATTGCGTTTTTATGGAAAATCAATAAATAGACAAATTTATTGATAAAAATAGTAATACTTAACTTATTTTACATCGCTAAAAATGAAAAAAAAATAAAAATAACATATTTTTTTTGAAAAATAAAGTAATCATTTTTTCATTGCAATGTATCCAGAATCACTTACTCTATCACTGGTTTTCGTTTTCGGAAGCGTTCCCCTAACACCCAGTATATATATAGATATAGATAAGTTTTGGTCCATTCGTTTCTTACAAAAATCAAGTTTTGCTAGAGTCGCCATTTAATGTTTTTCTTAAAAAGTATTTAAATATCATTATTAAACAAAAAAAATTAAAGCAAAATTAAACAATCAATGAAAACACACACACGGCCATATGCATGCCGGGACTGCAAAAAGGACAAAATCTCTTTTTTATAATTATATTTGAAAGTTACAAATTAATTATTCCAAAAAAATATATATATTTAACAGAAATGTCACTACTATAATAAGTTAAAGTCTAAAAATAAATTTACGCTTGCGATTATTTTTATTATAATCCCATCGCTCGTATGTGTATAAATTATTATGAGCTCCTCCCAGTTAATAAGGCATTAGACATATTTAATGCCGAATTAAAGAAGTTACAGGAAGAAGATTCATGTATTAAAGAAGTTGTTGTAGACCTAAATGTCGCATCTGTTTAATCATCCAGATTAATATATACTCATTCTTTTTGATTTTTCATATCGGTTAAAAAAAAAAAAACTTTATCATGTCTCATTGTGTAAACACCTTTAGGATATTAATCTAGTACTACACAGTAGTCACTTATTATACTTTGATTAATGTCTGTTGTGTTATCTAATAAATAAGCACAAAAGTGTGACTTTCGTTAATAGTATATTAAACAAACTTACTTATAGAACGATATTAGTTTCAGTGAGGCGTGACGTCATAGGGACGCCATTACACAAGTGGCGTTTTCGCGGGAAATTTTAAAAATGTATTTTTAAATTTTAACTTATTATATTAATTATATATTTCCTAGATATGTATATTTCATGTAGTTTTATCCATAAAATAAAAAAATAAATACAAATTAGCTGTCTACACTCTTATTATAGATAAATACCTATTATAGATAGATAACTTACATTGGTCATGTACTCGTGCAGGAGATCTTGCAGAGCCTGTCTAACTGCGTTACATTCCGCCACTATACGCTCGCGACGTTCATCTCTGTTTAGAAGTAAAAAAAAAAAAAACAATTATACAGGGTTATTTTTATAACACCATCAGTCCCGCAGTACTGAATAGCTAACATAAAAAAAAACACGTTTGTTGCGGTGGTAATCCCTATCGTAGGTATAATATTTTTGTTGTGGTTTCACTTTGAATAATGAATCAATAAGTTTTATATTTAATATATTAACTAATAACCAGTGGTCGGAATTAGGTGATACTTACACTGATTTCATACAGCGAAAGAATAAAGTGGATATGCCTAAAATCCCGAGATTAATTTTAAAGAGCTCTGCTAATAAGTAATCTATAATATAAAAATGAATCGCAAAATGTGTTGGTAAGCGCATAACTCAACAACGCCTGGACCAATTGAATATATGCCGAAAAAACCGTAAAAACAGCCCTTTTCTTTTTCTCATACAAACGTTTTCTAACTAAAACGTTGAGTCAATTTGAGCTCTATTACTATTGTATAAAGTTCATATTAAATTACAAGCACTCATTGTTATCTAAGCAATGTAGGTGTGTTCCTAACGTCAAAGAGTCAATTTGCACTTTATTACCGCTATACAAAGTTGAAATTCAATCATATCAATACAGTGTGCGTGTGTGCGTTGGAGCACAGAATACATCGTTGGAGGATTTAATGCCGCGTTCCGAAACTCAATTAAAGTAAATCATTAGTACTGATTTTCAATTTGGTCGGCTTTGCGATATTATTTCTTTTGTTTTACTTTCAGCACGCGACATAAAATGCATCAGTTTTCACGTCATGACATCAGTCAAACACAAACCGCGTTACCAAAAGTGTTTTATTATTTATTATTTTACACACATAAAAAATTGGTACGGCCTGAAGGATTTGATTCCAAGTCATATCAAATTTAAAAAAAGTTGAAAATTGAAACAACAACAAACTGTCGATGTTTAGTTAGTTTAAAAAAAAACTAAGAAAAATAAACTGTCGATGTCAATTTGCCGGTGTGGAAGTATTATTTTCTTGGATTTTCTGTTACTTATTCTACTGAGTTTGCTTTTGTCAACTGATACTGTCTAATACACGAAACAAATTCGTATATCGTGTTTTGTGCAGAGTGTTTAGTTACCTATGATCACTATTTATTATAATAATAATATTGCATGTGACACAATAATTTATATTTGATATGCCTCCTATTTTTTGCCCCGACTATAAAATAAGTAGGAACAAATAACTGCCACATTACAAATCTTTTTGACAGGACGAAGTCTGTCGGGTCCGCTAGTTAGTGAATAGGCATGACGACTAATTTTTGTTTATTTGCCCGTCAGGTAGAGTGTTGAAAGATATTGAACACGTATTATTTAATTTTTTTTTTTTAAATATCGCGTGACGACACGCTTTGGTACTTTTTCTACAAAACTGTGATGTAGCGAGCCCCCACTCCTCAACTTTAATGCCTGTTATCTAAGCTACTTCTTGATAAATTGAAGTAAAAAAAATATTTTTCTATTATCTGACTGACGGACTAAATAGAATATCTTTTTTTTTTACCCAGTCATCATCCCTAATACAACAACAAACACAGGAATCGTAAATTTTTCAAGACTGTGTCACAAAAAGTATATAGTTAAAATATTACAAGTGTAAAGGATAGAAATGAAAACTACAAGGTGTTGTTAATCAAGATGGCGGTCGAAGAGGAACTCGGTCAACTAACATCCGCTCGCGATGGTTGCTCGTCCTGCCTGTAGAGGTCGTGAGAATCGATATTTAAAATACCAATGACGAGATGCTCTTCGATCGGGGTTCATTTTATTGATATACCTTCCTAATATAATATAATTGAGAAATATTGGTTAAATTTTGTTTAGTGATTCTTAAGTTATATATTTATTTATTATTTTATAAGGTTATTATACTGTGTGATGCGTCGCCTACAAGTGAGCCTACAGCAAATTTATTTGCGTTTGAATAGGGTATACAAAAGAGAAGTAAAAGGTAATACAACTATCGCCTATTCAGCCATTAACAATAGCATGCAAATGTAGTAAAAGAAGACACTATAAGCACTGATCAATCCACCCCGAGTTAACGTTCCGTTTCTATAGTCTAAGTCAGTGATTCCCTAAGTGGTCCAGGTGGACCCCCCGAAGTCCACGAGAGATTCAACCGTGGTCTACGTACTCATCCGCGACGCCAATTTCCATCGTTAGATCTTCACATTTTGGATGAATTTGGGAATATGGTAAAAATGTAGCAGCAGGTCTTTGAGAAAAAATTGTTTGGGAACCTGTTGTCTAAGTTCTTCTCCTTCTTCATTTATAAAAAGGATGATGTTGTGAAACAAAGAGTTAGAATATACATGTATTCTAAAGTGAGCGTATATGTGTATATGTGTGTGCATATGTGTGTATATGTGTGCAGATGCGTATATACCTGGTGCAGGAGCTGTCGGCCATGAGCGCGGCGCCGGAGATGATGGACTCGAGGCGCTCCTCCAGCGACGGGCGCGTGCGCGACTCCGAGTAGGCGAGCGGCTCCATCACCATGCGCTCCTGGGCACACGTCATTCAGTATATAATTGGGACGACGACCAGGTAAAAAAAAAGAAATTCTATTCAGTCCGTCGGTCAGATGATAGAAAAATATTAGATACGTTTTTTTATTTCAATTTAACAAGAAATAACTTAGATAGCGAGCATTCTAACTCGCCCCGTCACAGTTTTGTAGAAAATGTACCAAAGGTGTCACGCAACATTTTAAATTAATCCCGTAATGCCTCCGTAATTTAATAATTACGAAAAAAAAAAAAACTTGTTTAATATTTTTCAACAATCTACGTGACGGACAAACAAAAAGATTTTATTCGTCATCCTTATTTGCGAGTAGATTTATAACTGAGCACCGTTATACAGGGTCATTACATGATCCTGTATAACGTTGCTCAGTTATTACCATGTGATTAAGTAGATAGGTAGTTAGTGAGTAGATTTATAACTGAGCACCGTTATACAGGGTCATTACATGATCCTGTATAACGTTGCTCAGTTATTACCATGTGATTATGTAGATAGGTAGTTAGTGAGTAGATTTATAACTGAGCACCGTTATACAGGGTCATTACATGATCCTGTATAACGTTGCTCAGTTATTACCATGTGATTAAGTAGATAGGTAGTTAGTGAGTAGATTTATAACCTAAGTGATTGAGTACGTGTCAACATATACATATAAGTAATAAGTTGAACATGAACGAGATGTTACTCTTGTCCAGTAAAAAATGTCAGATGTCAGCTTGTCAATGTCAAAAATGATGCAATAGAAATTAATTTCTGTACACCGGGTATATTATCAAAGAAATATACCTTATTAAAGACGTATTTTTTTGTTTTTGCATGATCAATAAACTTCGGCAGTATATTAAGTGAAATGTCACATGACGTTATGCCTTTGTACATTTTCTACAAATATGTGAAATAAGGAGCCCCCACTCCTCAACTTTAATGGCTGTTATCTAAGTTATTTCTAACAAGAAAAAAATATCTCTATTGTCTGACTGTAGGACTAAATAGAATTTCTTTTTTTACCCAGACATCAACCCTAGTTTGATAGGGATAGTTGACAACTTTTTTTTATTTCATAAATAAATAGACCATTAATATCTGAGAAATAATGTAGATTAATAGTTTCGGAGATACGGTGCTCTGTTTGTGGAACCGCTGATAATTAAATGAAAACACTAACTACAAGTTTAAGGTAATAAGTGACGTCACACAGTGCAACGGTAGCGTAAAACGTATGGGCGTCTGGGCAATCTTTGTTATTTATGCGTTTATGTTTATAGCTGTTATAATGAAAGTTGTAACATTTTATTTATCTAATTTAATGCCCTATTTATTAAGCAAATTTTTGTACTATATAATCCCTACTTTTTTCATGTTTTCACAGCGTAATATTTACCAATAAAAGTTTATTTTGTATATTTCTAAATTGAAATGGTTTATATTTTCCGAAAATATAACAGATACCTGTTTTCATTTACAGACACAAGCCTATTAAGCTCATTAGTAGTTAAAAAAAATTTTTTGTTTGTCTGTGTATTTATTTATTATTTAAATATTTATAATACTTTGTCATACTGTGGAGGAAAGAAAGAAACATTACTATTATTCATCATCATCATCACCAGCCCTTTTACGTCCCCACTGCAGGGGCTCAGGCCTTCCTTATGTATGGTTAAGGAGGATGGGCCATGACCCTCCACGCAAGCCAAATGCGGATTAGAGGATATTAACGACTGCAAATGCAGCCGAGACCAACGGCTTAACGTGCCTTCCGAAGCACGGAGTAGCTCGAGATAATAATTTTTTGGTCACCCATCCCGTGACCGACCCTTGCGAAAGTTGCTTAACGACTACGATCGCGGACCTCGGCGCTTATCCTCTACGCCACCGAGCTACTCATAATACTCATACTCATTATACTTACTATTATTATAATATTACAACTTACATCAAAATCGTCCAGAGCTTGAGCCAACTCTCCAGGTCCTTCGACAGCGGGACGATTGGAACCTGCTTATGTGGGAAAAAAAAACAACTTTTTATTTAAAACAAATGTTTGATTTATTTTAGACAACGACAATATAAACTAGGGTCGTAATTATCAAAATGATATGTTTTTTTTTATAATTATCCGTAATATCTATTGCAATTAAAATATTTCTGAAATTAAAAAGGGTCATCACATCACCATCACCAGACCTTTTACGTCCCCACTGCAGAGGCTCAGGCCTTCCTTATGGATGCTTAAGGAGGATGAGCCATGACCCTCCACGCTGGCCCAATGCGGATTGGCGGGTATTGACGACTGCAAATGCAGCCGGGACCAACGGCTTAACGTGCCTTCCGAAGCAATTAAAAAGGGTGCTTTTAATTATATATTTTTTTGTTTTTACCAACGATGTTCGATGACCAACGATAATAAGGCCTGAAGTACAAAAAGAGTGTGTGTAGTGTTTTTTAATTATCAAGGTATATTCATCATCGTTATTATCAAGATAATTATCGCAATAATAATCAATGATTAGTGCCGGTAAACTTCGTATCACCTCTCACCGCTTAAACCTTCCCTGGTCAACGACAGGCATTACAAAAGCAAAATCAGCTAAATCGGCCCAGATGTTCTAGAGTTTTAGCGAGACAAATCAAATCAGATTTTTATATACATACACATATATATCAGGCATTAGAAATGCTCCAGTCTTCCATATGGATAGTTAAGGAAGATGTACTATGACCCTCCACGCTGGACTTATCCGGATTGGAGGACATTAACAACTGCAAACACCACTAAGGACCAACGGCTTGACGTGCTTTCCGAAGCATGGAGTAGCTCAAAATAATATTTTTTCTTTCGACCGACTCTTGCGAAAGCTGTTTAAAAACTACGCACTATTTTTTTATTCGCTACATGTATGATACAATATGACGCTAACCCTGTATATTGTTGATGTTTTCCAAATAACCCTGTATATTTTCGTAATTGCTGACTGTGGCAGCGGCTGAACATTAATTGATTTTTACATACATACATTTAAAGAAGATAAGTATCACTCCGAACTCTACCCTGTACATTGTCGGTGTTTTGAAAATAACCCTGTATAATATCATACCATGAGTGGGACGCGCATGAGCGGCCGCAGATATCGCGGTAACGGCGGAACAGACGGCGCGCAACACGTAATCGCGGTTAGCTTTAGCCGCCGCCAACTCGGGGTGACGGACGTACACCTTAAACAATTACAATACATTCTTCATGAAAAATACCACCTTAGACATAGAATCCAACCTTGTCCCTTGTACTCTGAGATGGGATGGATGGATATGGGATCCCATTGCCACTTTTTAAAGGCGCCGTACTCTAACAGGACCAGAATGCTTACTCTGTTTCTCCGAAAAAGAAAATTCGTCTATTTTCGAAACCCTAAAACGACTCTAAAGGTACACATTTTTCGATAATGAAGAAGTATTTAAAAAAAAATAGTTCCCGAAATCAAACTAGATGTCGCTACGGTACGTTCTTGATTTCTCCATGACAACCGTTCCGGTTATCTTTCATGTATAAAAGTAAATTAGTTTTCAAAACTCAATAAACAACTCATATACTATTTGTACATTTTCGTATTTGTATTGATATCTGAGTTTCGAACATTTCAAATTTCAGTTTTTTATTATGTTAGTCGAAAGGAACGGAAATGACTGTCTTTGGTCCATTCGTTTCCTGCAAAAATCATCTTTTGCTAGAGTCACCATCTAGTGGAGGTGCTCTTTTAGTGCTTTCGTTTTTTTTTTAAATACTTCCTCATTAATAATGAAACAGAGGTAGGACACTGACACTACTTCTGATGCTCAGACAATATTTTTGTATTGTTTGTAATTTTCGTTTGTAGACAAACAGAGTAGCCCTCTGGGGTTAGGCGTATTATAATACCCGCAAATTGCTAATGCGCCTGGCCGCCATTTTGATGACGTAATTGCATTCAAAAACCAGTACCGTCAACAAGTAAACACTAATTATTATATTTTGTTTAATTTAACATTCACAATGCCATACTGAAAATTATTCTTAATACAAAATGCTTAAAAAATCCACTTGGTCCCTGGCACCCTGAGATGGGAATCGAACCCACGACCTTTCGCAATCTGGGCGTCTGCTCTAACCGCTGAGCTACCCAGGACCTAACAGGACTGACGAATCTTTCAAGAATTTTGTATTTAGAATAAGTAAACACTAGTTGACGAGTACACTTAATGTGTCGGGTTGTGTTGAGATCACACATCATTCTTGTGATGTTATTGTTGGTTTCGATTGTTATTAAGTTTTGTTGTAACTTGTTGTGGTTGACTAAAATTGCGACTGCTATTATGATTTTCATAATAAGTAAACACACGAATAAATAAATATATCTAATTTCTCTCATTTCAGTATCACTTTTGGTTATGTTTTAAAAAATGTCCTTTCCTTTCGCTTTCGCGTTATTACAAATAGTATATGTTGTTTTTTTTTTTCATATATTATTTATTTTCCATATACCTTAATATTTACATACAAAATTGATTCCTATCCAAAAATTAATGCAAGAAATTAACAAATGTTATTATAATAAAAATGTTTTGGGGCTAATTCATAAATATTTCAATAATTAATTTAATAATTTATATCTTGCCTTTTGTGCTATCTATACTTTCTATTCTCACATGACGTCACGTGGGAGTTATTTAGACAAGGTTCCAGTGCATTAGCAATTCACGGGACTTAAAGCATTATTAATGTAAAATGTATCATATACGATAATGTTGTTTTTATGCAATAAATTAACAAACTAAAAGTTATAAAATTATTTTAACAAAATTTTTTGGAATAATTAAAAAGTATTTTAATAATAAATAAATAATTTTTCTCTTCCATCTTGCTTTTTATGCTAACTGTACTTTCTATTTTTAAATGACACGGATGTTATTCAGACAAAGTTCCAGTGTATAAGCACGGGGTTAATACTAGTCATCGTTGTACTCACCTTGGAAGCGGTGAGGAGCATTGTGGAATGCTTCTTCAGAACAGCCCTGGCCGCGGCCAGGTCATCCCTGGTCCTCGGCTCTCGTAACTCCTTCTGTCTCCTGGCCGCTTGGGCCACCAACTCGGCAGCGGACCTACCGAACTGGCGGGCTGACTCCACTAACTCGGACTGAGACGAGGCAGACTTCAACTTGTCCAGGTCGGATTCCACCTGGTATATAAATAAGTATTGTATCTGGTGTTCCGTCTGCTCGCACAACAAATCTACTGCTAAAAAGATAGGGTTGGCAACACTGCCAGATGGCGTTGTGCACCACTGAATCGCGCGACACAAAGAGTCGACTTGTCGAGAAATAGTATAGTAGGAAAGAGACCGTCACTGGGAAAGAAAAGGACGTGTAGCCGTTCAAGAACTTTTCGGTGACGCCTCGAATACATCGAGGCCAGCCTTAGAATGTTCTAGAATATTGAAGATTTTAACCTAATACATTCTAGATGATGATGTGATCTATCTCGGCCCGTAAAGTGCATTTTATTGATATTCAATGGCGATTGAATGGAACACTGGTGAAAGTGCTCGGTCTGCTATACGATTGCAGGCCGGTCATAAGATGGGTGACCGAAAATTTATCTTACACTCCTCAGTGCTTCAGAAGACCCATTAAGCTGTTGGTCTCTATTGCATCCGCAGAACGTTAACACCCAGCAATTCGCACGCGGCCTGGTGTTTGTATATAGATTGATATAATATCGTAGGAGCCAGCCTCCATTTTTCTACAAACTCGTATTGAACCCTGGAAATATCAACTTCCAGCTTTTGTAGATCTCTATTCACCTAAACGAACCATCAACTTATTTATATACTTAAACTAAAGGGTAAAGAGTATATTAAGTTATCATCACCAGCCCTTTTACGTCCCCACTGCTGGGGCTCAGGCTTTCCTTATGGATGGTTAAGGAGGATGGGCCATGACCCTCCACGCTGGCTCAATGCTGATTGGAAGGCAGTAACGTCCTACAAATACAGCCGGGACTATCGGCTTAGCGTGCCTTCCGAAGCATGATGCAGCTCGAGATAATTATTTTTTGGTCACCCATCTCACGGCCGATCCTTGCGAAAGTTGCTTAACGACTACGATCGCGGGCCGCGGCGCTTATCCACTACGCCACCGAGCTACTTGTATATAAAGTGTAATAATGATAATAATATTCGCATACATTAACGGCCAGGACCAACAGCCCGACGGGGACAGTGAAGACCATTATCAACAGCCTGGTGGTGGACAGACCAGAACCAACAGTCTGATAACGGGGACATTAATGACCAGGATCCACAGCCTGGTGGCGGACACAGTAATGACCAGTTTCAACAGCACGGTGACGAGGAACAGCAACAAGTTTCCGCAGTCTAGCAACGGACACAGTAACGGCCAGGATGGGCAGTGTAGTGGCGGCCACAGAGGGGCTAGTGTGTGCACACTCACGCTCCTGGTGGTGTTGAGCAGCAGCCGCACGTCGGCCAGGTCGGCGAGTATGAGCAGTCGCGTGACGGCGGACAGCAGAGCCCTGGCGGCCCGCACCATGCCCGAGCGCGCCGCGGACGCGCATGGCTGCTCCGAGAACTCGCGCGCGGACACGCTCATGGCCGCGCCTGGCGCCAAGCAAACCGTCGCGTGGTTAGTTACCCCCCCTCATTTAGTTACACGCTCATGGCCGCACCTGGCGCCAGACCGAGTGGGAAACCATCGCGTGTTCACTCCAGATATCAAATGAATTTCATAATAACTACCTCATTTAATTACCCCCCCCCCCCCCTCATTTAATTACACGCTCGTGGCCGCGCCTGGTGCCAGACCGAGTGGGAAACCATCGCGTGTTCACTCCAGATGTTAGACAAATTTCATAGTAACTCCCCCCCCTCATTTAATTACACTCTCATGGCCGCGCCTGATGCCAGACGGAGTGGCAAACCGTCCGGTATTTACTCCAGATATTAGACAGACTTTACATAAACTCTCCCACCCCATGTAATTATTAAAATTTATTTCTAATACAACTCATAAGTAGTTAAAACTCAATCCCCCCCCCCCCCCTCCTATTTAATTACACGCTCATGGCGACCGAGTGACAAACCGTCCGATATTAATCTAGCGCTCCGCCAGCGGCTTTATCCACGTGATTAACTCCAGATATCAGACAATTTTCATATAAACTCCCCCCCCCCTCTCCCCCCACGTTTAATTATTGAAATTTATTTCTATTTATTTCTAATCAAACAAAGTGACAAATCGTCCATCATCCTGTACTAAACTAGACGTACGCCAGCGGCTTTGCCCACCTGATTAACTCCAGATTTTAGACAAATTTCATATAAAATCTCCCCACCCCCGTGAAATTATTAAAATTTATTTCTAATGAAGCTAATAAGCAGTTAACTACTTATTTATTTTTAAATACAATAACATTTATTCAAGGTACAATCATCTTTGTGCAAGTATATATAAACCCCAGCAATTAGTGTGTAAATAAACAATGTTTTAGGTCATAAAACCTTAAAAAAATAATGAAACCAACTTCAAATTAAAAAAAATGAGAAATAACTTTTTTTTAATTCAGTTAAAAAGTAAAAGTTCCAGTGTTCATTTTTGGTTATACAAATGCATTCTCTAATTAGGTATGTACAAAAAGTGCGTTATTTTTGTTACACATAGTATATACAGACCTGCCTTCCTGACCTCCTCGACGGCGGCGAGCATCTCCTGAGTTATATCAGGGTTCTCGTACGCGATGGTCTGACCTCTCTCTATGAAAATTTCAGTCGCTCGCTCCACAGTGGCCACCAAGGCGGATGCTCGCTTCGACTTGCCCGCTGAAACGTAATATATACATATAAGGTTCAAGTATTACGTGACTAGTTACCATATTTGAGGATTTATAAACTTTTAAAGAATTTCAAGATTTGTCCTGAGATTAGAACAACAGTTAAGATCGCAGGATGGAGATCACATTAATTAAAAAAAAAATGTGATACAGAACACTAGCAGCTTGAATGGCCTCTAAATAATTATTAGATGACAAATTAATGGTTCACCAATTTATTTTATCAACATTTCCTTATTTAAAACACCGAACACACCATAAGAAAGTAACACCTTTTGCACTTAATAAATTCTTGGACTCAATAGGATTGTCTATGTCAAACTGTAAATGTGACTTGTTCAAACTAACAGAAGATTATCAGGCACAACAAATTTTATACCACATAAAAAACTTTTCTGTTTCATTGAAATTTTTAAGGAATTCATTTGGAATAAGTCGATCTTATCTCTAATTGGGCAGCCTTACTATAGGGTATTACTTACGTCTCTTTTTCTTAGCTGCTTTATCTTTGCTGTTGACGAGGGTGGTAACTTGCAACACAAGCGGCTCCAGTGTTCGCTCCACAGATGTGGTGCGGATCTCGAGGTTCTTAGGATCCCACTTGAGGGTCAGAGTACCGGTCTGACCGTAGTCTGCCATGGCTGCTATAAGAAAATACACTATTTATATCTCAAAAACATATGTGCTCTTAATCTTGACAGTTTGGATTATATAACAATTATATGTTGTTTATATAACCATCTATAAAAAAAATTAAAATATGAAAAGTTGCTTCAAACTTGTCCAAAGGGAGATTTGCAATGCTGTTTATAACTTCAGTGCTTCAAACATTTTATGGACCAAGTCTATTACCAACTGGCAACTAAGGAATGGGAAGCTCAGACAGGCAAGGAGACCTTTTTTATCCAGGGAAAATGTGTTATAGTCTACCCCTGCCAGGTGGCAGGAGTGTGGGGCCTCAGTCAGGGGCGGCATCCAGGCAGGACATATTCAACAGGAGGATAGTCTGACATGTCAACAACTGCTGATGAATAAATAAAAATTTGATAAACTCATAATTACTAAAACTGTAAGCCAATATTATGATATAAATCATACTTATTAACTGTATGGTCAGACAATGAATTCAACATAAATTAATATTCATTAAACTGTTTATATCCTACAGCAATATTTAAACATGGTGGTCTGTGGATTAGTGCTCATAAAAATTTGTCAAATAGTCCCTGCTGACCACTGGCTTATACAAAAGAACTGACACCATTACTGCATTAATGTTTAATTCAAATAAAGTGGTGTCTCAGCACTTGGTAATCAAGCATAAATAGCATGAATTATAGCATTGTTTAGGCCAATATTGTTGAAACAATGACTATGTTCTTCTAGTATTTAGAAAAACGACAAATTATATTGTGAGAAATCATGAAATGTAATGACTCATCCGTATAACTAGTTTTCAATGATAACTTTAGTCGACTATCACATACTACGGTTTTAGTATACATTATCAGTAATTATTAAACAAATTTTAACTTGTTTGTAGACTACAATTCATGAATAAATAAACAATATTGTCGGGTGAAAGGCTAAAAATAACCGTGCCGCATAAAAATAGTTAAATCTTTTGTCGAAATACATTGGTTAATGTGACTTTCTTAATTGGTTGTGTTACAGGGCAAAACATTAGGAAAACTCTGCGATCATACCTTGGAAGATGATGCCTGAAGGTAATATTCACTAAATCTGTTTTTCAAATATTACTTTGCACTTTAATACACAAACTAATTTGTTAGATACCAAAATCTCACGAAAATATCACAAAACTTGCACTAAACTGATAAAAAAAACGACAACTAGGTAGTAGTAGTAGTAATCTTCGTCCGCTAAGGACAGGCGAAGGCGATTGAGCCATACTGCCAGATCTTCCGTGTTTATTTCTTTTCTTTTATTTTATGTACGCATCAAGTCTGTAATATTGGTTAAATTTCTCCAACAGTAGAATTAATAAAATTATAAACAGGAATGAAGTTTTCTGGGTGTGATAGAATTTCTTGAAGAGAGGGCGGGATGGTCTTGGAAGTGTCTAAAAGCTGATCTATTAGTAGTAAACGTTGTAAATTGAATGCAGGACATGTGAAGAAAATGTGTTCCAACGATTGATCTTCTTGTAATGAACATTCAGTGCAAATCGGGGATGTTATAATGCGCATACGGTGCAAGTGAGCCTTAGACCTACAATGTCCAAAACGCAATCTGGTTATTTGCGTATAAAATTTCCTTTGCAGATAGTCCTTGGAGACGGCAAACCATGGTTTTCGTCCAACTTCTTTATTAATGCTTGCATACCAGGTTCCTTTTGACTGAGTTATTATGACATTTTCTTCATTCCATTGCTGATTAATTTTATTACTATATTCAGGTAACAAATCTTGCCAAGAAACAGGTATATCTTTTATATTACCTCCCGTTGTGTTTGTTAGACGGGCAAGGAAATCGACTTTTTCGTTACCCGCCACACCAACATGTGCTCGCGTCCATATAAATTTTACGTCTTTTTGTTTTGTCATTGTCAGTTTGTTTAAAATTTCTCTGATTTCATAAAGTAAATAATTATTATTTTCAAAACCTGAGCGATTAAGGGCTTTAAGTACAGACATACTGTCGGAGACTATAAGAAAATTGTTTTTGTTAGAACAGATAATGTCAGTTTCAATATATTGTAAAGCCAATAAAATTGCCATTGCTTCAGCCGAAAATATACTGAGGATAGCTGGTAAACGGTAGCCTTTGCCATATTTCATTTTACTATGATAAAATGCTGCTGAGACTCCAAATTCACTTTTCGAACCATCAGTGTAAATTACTTCGTGTTCTGGCCAGGTATTTAACATTTCATAAACATCTTGTTTTGTTTGCAATGCGGTGTTTATAACCGTTTCAATTGAGGTAAATTTGCTTTCATATGAGCCACTATAGCAAGCCCAATGTTCATCAGAATAAATATTATATTGATTAATAAATGTTGTTGTTTCATTGAGATCATGTAAAATATATGGATATTTAGAATTTGATGAAGATGTTATTTGGGGTAGATTCTGACGTAATTTATTTAAAAGCGGTTGATTGTTTATTCTATAGAGCTTAACTATAAACTTAAATTTTAAATATTTGAATCTTATTAATAGAGGGGGAATATTACATTCTATTTGCATAGATATTATAGGTGTTGTGTTCATTGCACCTGTGATGAGTCTAAGGTTTTTATTTTGGATTTTTTCCAGTTTATCAATGAGATGATGATTGGAGGAGTAACACATAAAGCTGTACTCAAAGTGAGCACGAACTATAGATTTATATAACATTAACAAGATTTTTGGATCAGCACCCCAACAAGTGGAAGCCAATGATTTCAAGATGTTGAATGCTTTTAATGCTCTGTCTGCTAAAACTGAAACATGTTTGACCCATGATAAATTTCTCATAAATGTAACTCCTAAAAATTTTGCTTCTTCACTAACTGGAAGTGAGATACCATTATAAAGGATGTTGGTAAGTAACATTTTAGATTTATTGAATACTACCACACTAGTTTTATTTTGGTTAACTTCTAATTTCAAGTAATCAAAGTAAGCTTTCAATTTTACCAATGCAGTATTAAGTTTTTTTTCAATTTCTTGAATACTTTTGCCAGCACAGTAGACTGTGAGGTCATCAGCAAATTGGAGATTACATATTTCATTACCTAAAACATTATTTAATTTGTAAATGTACAAAATAAATAATAAGGGACTTAATATTCCTCCTTGGCAAACACCTTTGTTTGACTGCTGTGGACCAAATAAATTATTTTTAAACCTGACATAAACTTTACGGTTGTTTAAGAAATTAAAAATCCATTTGATTAATTTTGCAGGTAACCCAAGAGATGCTAATTCATTTACTAAAACAAGATGGTCGACATTATTGAAGGCACCTGTTATGTCAAAGAAAACACAAATTAAGAAATTATTCTTAGAAAAAGCATTATTTATATCAAGGTATAAGTGACTCAAGCTTTCAACAGCTGATCGCCCTTTTCTAAAGCCAAATTGATTATAAGATATTAAATTATTATGTTCTATATAGTACTCGAGTCTTTGCTTCAATAACTGCTCAAATAATTTTCCTGCACAGGATGTTAATGCTATTGGTCGGTAGGAGTCATGATGACCACTACTTTTTCCTGGTTTAAGAATAGGAATAAGACAATCAACTTTCCAAGATTTGGGGATTATTAAATTATGCCATAGTAGATTGAAAATATTAAGAACAATTTGTAAACTGGATGAATTGAGATTTTTAAACATTTTATATGAGATATTATCTAGACCAAAAGCTGTATCCTTTCGAGAATGAATGGCACTTAACAGTTCATTAAGTGTAAATGATTTCATAAAAAAATTGTCAACATTTGATATGTGATTACAAATACTGTCACTTAAAGTTTGACTATTAGTATTAGATGTGTATTTATCTAAGAATGCCTGTATCCAGTTGTTGTTGTTCATGCCACTGGATGAAGGAATGTAGGTTTTATTAAATTTTCTAAGGTTAGTCCAAATAGTTGACAAAGGAGTATGACGACTAAAAGTATTACAAAGATCCGACCATGCCTTTTGTCTTTCTTGTTTAATAATAAGTTTCTTTTGTGCTTGCTTACTTTTAAATAAAATGTAATTTTGTTCAGTAGGGTTTAGTTTAAATTGTATATAAACATTTTTACAACTATCCACAGCCTTTTTGCAAATATCATTCCACCAGGGCAGATTTAATTTCTTTTTATTTTTGTATTGTATATTTTGAAATGATTTTTTAGTTGAAAGATTTGCATCAGATACACATTGTAGTAAATTATTAATTAGCATCTCATAACACACATCTGGATTGTTTTTATCAAAAGCACATGCACTTAGTTTTATATCTGCCAATTTAGTATATTTTTTCCAATCTACTGTTCTATAATTTGGTCTAAAATAATTTACACCACAATTGTTATTATTATTATTTACAGGATTCAGTAATAGACTAGTAAGGACTGGGAGATGGTAACTACATAAGGGGTCATCGTGCACCTGCCAGTTACATCTTAAAGCTAAAGTGGGAGAAACTATTGTCAAATCTAAAGCATTTGGTCGCCAGTTGTGGGAACCAACTGTTGTTACTGATCCATCATTTAAAAGACATAGATTGTTATCATTTATAACATCCAACAGAGTAGAACCACGAGTGTCAGTTGATGTACAACCCCACATAGTGTGATGTGCATTAAAGTCACCAGCTAATATTAAAGGATTTGGTACAGATTTCACTAGATTGTCCAAATATACGTAATTAAAATTTGAAGGGGTAGCAGAAGAAGGGCTATAGAAACTAATTATAGATAGGGATTCATTATTGATTTGTAATGTGATAGCAATATTTTGTAAGGAGCTATCATAATATGTTTGTATTCTTTGATAATTTAAGTAATTTTTAATTAAGATAGCAACACCATTATGTTTTGAACCAATGTCTAATCTTTCAATTTTATAACCTTTTATATTAAAAGATTTCGTACTCTGTAACCAAGTTTCAGATATAAGAGCAATATGTATTTCATTTTCATAAAGGTATTGTGAAAAAACATGTTTATGATTAAGCAAACTCTGAGCATTCCATTGTACTATTCTTATAGACGTGTGATCCATAAAAAATAAATAGGTAAGGGAATTCCTATGTAAGTGATTGTTTGTTTAATGTTAATTTATTTTCTTTCATATTTGTCAGAAGAATGGTTTTAATACTTTCAGAATTTATAGGAGTTTCATTTAATTTATTTTCATGTATGACTTTGACAATTGTTGATATAAGGATATTTAAACATTCATCAGATTCTAAATATCCGGAAATATTTTCTGAATTAGAGATACTAGTTTTATGTCCTTTACTATTCAAAATAGGGAAAGCATTATTGTCAAATAAATTAACAAATGGTACAGTTTTTTGTTTTATTTGGTTTTCTTGTATTTTCTTCTTTTTGATGGGGCATTGGGCAGAAATTGCTATGTGTTTGCCGCTGCAATTTACACAAGTGGCTTCGTTACTGTCTTTATTGCAATCTCTATAAGAATGGCCTTCACCACAGATTGAACATCTCTGAGAATTTTTGCAATATTTTGCTATATGACCGTATCTGAGGCATTTAAGGCATTGTGATACTGGCCTAACATACTGAGTTACATCAAAGAACCATGAATTTATATCAACATGCGTTGGCAATATTGGACAAGCAAATGTGATAGCTACCGTTTGTGTTGGAAATAGCGTTGGTTTGCCATCGTCGTCCTTTCCACGCCGCATAAATCTGCGCACTGAAACTACATCCTTGGAGCTGGTCAAACCTGAATAAATGGTTTCATTGGACATATAAGTAGGTACATTTCTTATTATACCAGTAGATTCGGTAAGAGCAGCTGGGATAGAGGCTCTCACTTGCAAGTCTTTTTGAATTTTTAGATTATTTAGCGCTAAGTTAGCTAGTCCCGGTCGTTCAAATATTGCACCTATCTTGTATTTGTTTATTCTTTGGAATCTTTTTATTCCTTTACATTGTCGTTTTAAAGCAGTCCCAAGTGACATAAGATCTCTATCACCTATGGGCTTGCCTGAGTCAACACTTTCGTATAATACTATATATTCAAAGTTACCGCCTTCCTCGGGATACTGCCGTGAATAGTTTTCGACTTTGAAAATTAAGTATTTATTATTTTCCAACGAGGAATCAGAATGTCCCTCGTCGCTATCACCAGACTCTGCTTCCGCCTTTCTTTTTTTTCTTTTGGTCTTCATTTTAATAGGAAAATTTAGATGGAATTTAAAAAACCTTTTGGGAGACAAATTTAAAACACCCGCCTAATTTGACTTCCCGCCAAAAAGTCCGACAACTAGGTATAGAGTTGAGGCGTGTCAAAAACTACCACAGACTCACATCACAGACCACTATAAGCCAAAGAGAACAGTAATATGCTATAAACTTTAATGAAATATGGTAAAATGATCCCACTTTTCAAGGCAGGCGACAAGTCTGATCCCAGTAATTTCAGACCAATTTCTATATTATCATCAGCGCTAAGTAAAACTCACACCTTCCATATAAGTACTGCTCAACACAGACTTCTTTATTTTCTTTTTTTAATCGGCTATAAGAAATCTCGCAAATTCATAAAATGTTTTGTTTGTAAATATACCTATCTATATGTATACGAATAAATATTATCAGTTTTTAAATTTAAAGTGACAATATTTATAGATTAGTTCTAATGGATTCTTTTTATTTAAAATATAAATAAAACCGAAAATAAATACATTTTTTAAAATATACTATTACCTATAACAACACTTTTATGCTTATTATATTTATAATATTCCTTAAATTAATTATGAAAAAAAAAGCAAATATTTTATCACGTGACCGCACCCAGCGCGTCACGTCAAGCCCCTTTTATTCATATAAGAACTTAGAGAATTGGAGCTTATGCATAATAGAACGATATTAGTTTCAGAGGGTCGTGACGTCATAGCGACGCCATGACAGAAGTTGGCGTTTTCGCGGGAAATAAAGCTAAATGCATTTTTTGATTTTTAACTGATTAAATGAGTTTTTAAGATATATTTTATGTGTATCTACTTTACACACACATATCTATTTTTTTAAAGATAACAAAATTTGAATTGAATTATATTAAATTAAATTATAACAAAAAATAATAAACAAAAACGTTGAATGTAAAATCTCTAAAATTTCAACAACTATCATTTTTGTTTTTTCAATAGACAAATACAATAAAGATAGCAGAATAAATTCTGAAGAAGTAGCGACTGCTAAAGAAGAACCAATGGATGATGACCCTCAGCTAGAAACCGTAGAATCATCGACAAAGTCTTTACGTGCCTCTGTTACAACTGTAAGGACTGGTACTTAACATATCTATATTCTATATACAGGAATATTTTTTTTCCAGTGCAAAAATTTTTTTTGGTGATTCAGTATCAGTAATAGAACACTTTTCCATAATTAGTTTAAATTTTTTTTAAAATATTTTTATCCCTATCGAAACGGTAGAATATGGACACATTTTCTAAAATAAAACTTCAATGAAAACGTCTTCTCTTGCGTATACCACCGTGCATCCCCGCCAATCCCGGTAGCCCCGCGCCACAGGCCCCGCCGCCCCGCCGGGACCGAGCGACACACGCGTTAGTGGCGGCGCAGTGAGACTCATACGCACGCGCCGATGTGACGTGCCCTCGCGCGACGCGCCCGCCGTCGTGAGTTTTACGAGATGGTACGAGTTTATCTTCTGAGTGGTGAGAACCTACATAAGTGTAATTCGGAGAAAGTATGCGACGAAGAGCATACCTCGTATGCGGGCCTTTGGGATCCGTAACCCCGCGTCAGTACCCACGATGCGGCATGTCTCTTTGGTGTGAGCCAGCCTGCGGTATTGAAGTTGCTAAAAACAGCCGGACTCCATCCGTACCACTTTCAGCCGGTTTAGCAGTTCCATGACCTAGACCCAGTACCACGTCGAGCCTTATGTGAGTGGCTTCTACATCACCGCGATGCAAACATCTTGTAGACGGATGAGGCATTGTTCACACGTGAGGAACTGTTTCTTATAAGAAGAAGTCAAACGCCGGGATGTAGAGGAGGCACAAAGTCTAGAAGACTTAACAATAAAAAATAATAATGCTTTTAGTGAAGTGAAAAGTGACACTAGTGTTTTAAATAAATTAAATGACAATTTAATGAAATGTGCACGTTTATGTCTGGACAGACGTGGACTTCATTTTGAACAAATATTAAAATACATGGTAAGTAATTAGCTAATTAGTTAGCTATTTGTTTTGATTCAACATTAATACGTAGTTGATTCCAATTTTTTTAAATACGCCTTAACGCAGAAGTACCTATGTAACTTCGGCATAACGTTAATATTTTTTTCTAGGTAACGAAAATGTTTCTCTTTTATTTTTTTGCATTTTGATGGCCTTAACCATAAAAGTATGAAGGGAAAATTGGAATTACTCTTAGAAATCACCTCAGATCATGGCATAAAATCTAGTTCGAATCTAACAAAATGAACGGTCAGTGACCCGTGTAGATAGGTACCTACGAGTACATACTTACGGCGTCGAGCGAGCGCTCAGCTGACGCACGGTGCTCGGTGTCCATAAATTAAGTTTTAAAATCTCGATCTTTGATAAGCGATAACTTTATTTTTTAATATTGGAACATATCAAAATAAAAAATACGTGTTTGTTTAAATTACTTAAAGTTTATTTTCACAAAATCTTCGCAGTGGTTTTAAATTATTCCTGTATAATGCCATTAGCATTAATTATGCCTTTTGTATCATTTCTTTACTGGTCAATTAAGTTTAATAAATAAATATTTAACTCGCTTTAGATTATTAGGATTGCCCAATCCAATTTTATTGTTAAAAACTTTACTTATTCGGTGATAGTTATACTAATTCCTTGTTATTTTAGATCAAAATAATTGACTTTTGAATTACAATTTCAGTATTATATTATATAGAAAAACCGAATATGACATCAAAGACAATGCCTTTGTGTACATTGATATAAAGAATTAATGTGATCTTATTAAAAATCTGCAATAATTTCCAACACTTCTTTATATATTCTAGGATCGTGAACTTGATAAAAGATGATATTGATATAGAGGAACATGTCCAAGATAACATACAGAAGTGTAATAACATGAGTGAATCCGCTGGAATAAGTGATTTATAATATTATATTTGGTCAATTCTGTATTTACAATGCTATATTGATATTTACCTTGCACTGTGGCCGAGTGTTTCAAGGGTCTTTGTATTGTTTGTATCAGATTTCTATAATACAAATGCTTAATTTTGATCTCGGCATCGAGCTTCTATTATAAAATCGGCCCTTTACGTCCTTACTGCAGGGGCTCAGGCCTTCCATGTTGGCCCAATGCGGATTGGAGGATATTAACGACGGCAAATCCAACCGGGACCGATGGCTTAACGTGCCTTCCGAAGCACGGAGTAGCGAGAGATAATAACTTATTGGTCACCCATCCCGTGACTGACCTTCAAGAAAGTTGCTTAACAAGAACGTTAGAAATATTATCGTCCGAATGTTCTTCAAACATCTATTATTTCTGTTCTTTTAATGGATAATTACGATAAATCTACTGGAATTCATTTTGAAGAAGTACCTACAGTAAAAGAAGAACTGATCGATGATAAATCTCCGCAAGATATCCTTATACCATCGATACAGACTTCCAGTAACACTATAACAGACATACGTAAATCATGTTCCGAACTGAAGATCAAACCATTATGTGTGTCATTAGAAGACTGTAGTGAAAGATTAGATAGGAGTCCTTGTTACTGCAAACAGTGTATGATATTGTTCCGGACGAGAAATGCTTTACGCGCTCACAAGATGAGTTCGCACTCGTCCCTTGTCGCGGAACAAGATCAAGAAGCTTCCATCGATGGGAAAAGCCCAGTGCCTTTGAATAATACGTTGCCTAATGAAGACCGGAGTTCGGAAAGTCTCCCGATCCCCAAAAGCGTTCTCTTCAAATGTAATAAATGCCATAAACATTTTGTGTTTTGCATAAATCTAATCAGGCACAGTCGACACGCTAACTACGGGAACTGTGCCAAAATCGGCTCGTGGCAATGCGCAGTTTGCAATCGCAGATTCAAAAGACAATCTAATGTGGTGCGTTGGTTACACGAGTTACAACATCAACACACTACTGAATTCATAGTCTACGAACTGTACCCAAATATGTATCCGCAGGTGCTTTACGAAGAGCAAGTCTTCTACAAACACTACAAGTTAGGTTGTAGTCCCACCATGAGCGTGGAATATCGTTCTATATGTGAACTGTATGTTAACAATAGCGTTCTCAAATAAAAACATGACGTGGAGAATCCTAAAAAGTCTGACTTCATTATAATTGATGATTTTGTACATCAACAAAGTCTGACCTATGATAGCGACGAGGATACTGACCTCCCAGAATTTCCAGAATCCGATCCTTCGACTTTAAAAGAGATGCCTGAAACGCAAAATATAGAAACCGGAAAGGTTCCATTCTACTACTGCAGAGTTTGCAATTAGTACATTACTAGTTTGAAGAGTCGAGAATTCCATCTCACAAAGAAATGTAAAGACAAGACTAGTTTTTTGCATACGTATATATGTCCAAATTGCGGACTCAACTTGAGCAATTACAGACATTTGCAGCACCTCAGAAAGCAGCACGCGAAAAGCAACTTTACCTTAGAAGATTTTGAATTTATCTATGAGAATATTATGTACACAAGAAAACATTACGATTCCTTCACAAAAAAAAGTAGTGTTCATAATCTTAACACAAGAAATAAAGATAAACTTGCCGTTCCAAGCTTCAGGCTTCAAAAAACCAGAGGATCATTTCTGGGTAAATGTATTGCTATGTTCAATAAAGTTCCACAAAATGTAATTGACCTACCCATAAATAAATTTCTAATTCATGTAAAGAATATACTTATGAGTAAAGGCTATTATAAAGTTGATGATTATTTTAAGGATCGCAATGCATGTAATTGATAGCCTTCGCTTTGTTCTATAATGACTAATTATATGTTCAACGTATGTCCTACAGACTTTGAAAGTTGTATTTATTATTGTGATAATACATATTATTTTGGTAATGACATGATTTATGTAAATGTCATTACTTATGATAAAAAGCTGGTAAGTTTCTTTCGCTTGTTTTTATTGTCAGCTAAAAGACGTCCTGAACAAGTGTAGCGGAAAAAAAAAATTTTTTTTGGACGATTCAAAAGTGCTTGTAATAGCCTACTTGAATAAAGATATTTTCATTTAATTTCATATGTATCAGGAGTCAGAAACAGTGTGTACCACCAATGCCGGAGTTCAAAATATGTAAAAATTGTAATGTTAATTACATAAATAATCATCATAGATCTTGTTCACAAACTCCTAAACATTGTGAATTGTGCCATAAATATTTCGCTAGGCCGCAAATATTGCTTGTGTTTAAAATCACGGAGGTCATATAAAATTAATTATCACAATGAAATTTCATTATGTTGTATGAAGCCTGATGATGATTTTTTAACAACCCCACCCCTCCCAACCTCTCCTTCCATCCATATCGGCTGCATTCAACTCATCATTTATATTTGTCTTTTAAGCCGACCGACAGCTGACAATAGAGAAATTTATGCGAACTAAGATTATTGAATGCCAAAGCCAAATAATATTTGCTGCGATTTCCCTCGGTCAAATCTTAAATTGGGGTTGGAGGTTCCGTAGACAAATAAGTACAGCCTGTAACGGTATTTTACATTTTTTAAATTAAAATTACTTTTAGCTGTCTTATCTTTCTAATGTCCAGTCTCGTAGTATTATCTTTAAACTACTTTCATTATCTTTAAACTACTAAAGCCATCTATGTTATATACGGAGTACTTATTTTTTTTTTTATATTGAACGTGCCTAATACTAGGTCAGGGAATTCCCGTCTTAGTAGGGGACAAACCCGCCCGGTTTGTAAAATGTTAATATGACGGTCCGGGTCTGATGCCGCTCCAGACCTACTTGAAAAAGTAATTAAGATTTTATTTCATTGAAGCACCAAAGTGCAGCGCTGTACTCGAAGCCGAGTTGGAGGCTGCTTCTTTTCCATAATATCTTAACAGGTGCTTACGGTGTCAAAAAATGTAGTTATTCGAGCTGTGGTTCGACTTGTGCATTCACGAATTAAGTTTGGAATGCATTGCCTTATATTGTTGATTAATGAGAATTTGAAATTACAAAATCCATTTTCATAAACTTTTTGTGTAAATCATAAAGGAGTTACAAATAGGAATGACCAGTAATTTTCATTTGTTTGTCCGTCAGTTTGATTGTTGCAAAATATTAATCATGTATTTTTTATTTCGTAATCATTAAATTACGCCGATACATTTGAGTTTGGCACATTTTCTGCAGAAATGTGACGTAGCGAGCCCCCACTCCTCAACTTTAATGCCTGTTATTTAAGTTGTTTCTTTTTAAATTGAAGTAAAAAAATATATATCTAATAATTTTCTATTATCTGATTGATAGACTAAGTGGAATTTCTTTTTTTACCCAGTCGTCATCCATATTAGGTATAAGCGACTCTTGAAATCATTAGATTGTTTGTTGTTTTTTTATGTTATGAATAAAACTACTATATAACTAGAACATTGTTTTATTTGAAAAACCATTCTTGCATTCTTTATTGTTATCTTTGAATTTTTTTATTCAAGGAGGTAGTTGAAGCAGCGGTCAATGAGGAAGTATTAAAAAAAAACATTAGTTCCCGAAATCAAACTAGATGTCGCTACGGTACTTTCTTGATTTCTCCATGACAACACTTCCGGTTTTCTTTCATGTTTAAAAGTAAATTAGTTTTCAAACCTCAATAAACAACTCATATTCAATTTGCATTTTTTCGTATTTGTATTGATATCTAAGTTTCGAACTTATCAAATTTCAGTTTTTTAATATGTTAGTTAAAAGGAACGGAAATGAGTGTCTTTGGTTCATTAGTTTCCTGCAAAAATCAAGTTTTGCTGGAGTCGCCATCTAGTGGAGGTGCTTTTTAGTGCTTACGTTTTTTTTTAAATACTTCGTCATCATAACATAATCTCTTTAGAAAATATAATAAACAACCTTTCTGAGAAAAATAGCTGTTTTTATTTATACACTCATTTCATTACTTATAAACTATCATTATAGGTGTAGTCCAATGCGATAATGAAAGCAAAATTAATAAATTGAATAATTAAACATATAATACGCAATTTAAATTAAGCTTTTTTGTAAACTATGTGTCATATTGAGTGCAATAAGTATTTTATTATTATTATTATTATTAAAATCGTTAAATTAATAGTCAAAAAATATTTATACATAATATATATGAATGACATTAAAAATGAATACAAACTATTCAACAATTTTTCCTGTATAACATTTCTAATGCCAATTGTTCAAATATAGTTAATATAAACTACATTAATATCACTGACGTATATAAAAAATCATTTATTTAAAGCCCTTATTTTTTTAAAGGCAACTACTGAGTATTTTACCCTATGTATATTTTTTATATTAGTAGGTATGTTCATTGATTTTGTATAGGGCAATTTTGTATTCTAATTCAACAATACTTTTTATTCCACGAAACGATTTCGTAGGGAACACGCGAGCAAAGCCGCTGGCGGAACGCTAGTAAGGTAACACTAAAGATATTAGAATTATATTTAGAATCAAGAGAGCTTTTATTTAGTCATATAATTCTTGTGATGAAATCTTAACATAGGCTCAGAACGGTTTAAATACACTATCAAATTGGCTTACCGAGAATATTTTGACAGTAAATATTAAAAAAAAAAAACACAATTTATTTATTTTTCATTAAAAGACACTGATACAAACATAATAATTTATTATTTATTATATAAAAACACACATCACCAAAACGCATTCACACGAAAACTTTCTTACTATCACACTTGTTCATTTACATAAATATTCAACATACATAATCAAACACAAATTTACCAACTTGATTGTTTCCCTTTTTAACTTTTTCTTTTTTTTTCCCCAATGTTTTCCTTGTAGTAAAATTAGCACAATAGTTACTTAGTTATTTAATGCCAAAACAGTCGTATTCCCCGTGGGATGGGTCCTGGTGATCTGTACTTCAGGCTATTTTATTTTATTTCATTCATTTTAAAGAAAACTTACAGCTGTGTTTAAGGATATATCAATACAATATATGCTGAATGCCATTTAAAAGTTTTCACATATGGTTAAAAAAAACAGTGCGATAAGAAAAAACAATAAAGAGATAGGTAATATACTATAGTCTATTCATCTTCCTCTGAGACAAAATGTAAACAAACTGGAAAAAGGTTCTTTAATATGTCAAAATATAAATGCATTTAGAATTAATCAAAAAAGAAAGTGACATTAAAAATACCTAAAATTGAAGCTGTTCCCAAACATTGGACGTATTATAATACTACTAAATTGAGGAGTAGCGATAAGACAAATACTTTACGTAGAAACGTGAAATTTTGTAATTAGTCGGGTTATACCGGCCATTTTTACTCTCGATCAACTCGTTGACTCGTGCAAAATGCTTTCGTTAAATTCTTGTTATTTGTTTATTCCAGTTGTTAAGTTTGTTGTTTTCTGTTATTGCTAAGTTTTAAGTTAAATGAAATAAAATCTTTTTTAACCGATGCTCTAAAAAGGGTAACAGTAGAAACTGTGCTAAAGTGCATTGACCATGTCATAAAAGAAGAGCAACATTTTTTGAAAATTAATGGTTTCATAGATGATTTAGTTGACCGTGGTTGATAGAAGTTGGTGCGACTAGTTCCTCAGAGGAAGACAAGGAAGATTCTGAATAATATTATGTGACTCTTACAATTGCTATTTGTAAAAGAAATAGACTTATTGTATTGCATACCTACCATACAATAATTTGTCCCATTAACAAATTTTATTTACATACCAACATCAATAAAAAAGTTTGAGAAACATTGGTTTGTTTGTTCACATTTTGTCTCAGAGGAAGTTGAATAGACTATAGGCAATACTTAAGAAATAATAGTTTGTCAGCATACGTTTTAACTGAATGGCTGATGTATTGAACAAGTCGATGTCTAATTTCTTCACTAGGCCATTAAAGCGCCTGCTCGCACCTCACAGACACCAATTCCTCACAAAGCCGACAGGCAATCTTCGTTTTTGTTTTATTCGATTGTGTTTATTCGGTAACATGTAACCATGTTCCTGTATTTGTGAGGAAAATAAATTCAATTTTTATTACTTTTATTATTATTTTTTTATAAAATGCATATTGGCATGTTCAGACATATCTCGCAGATCAAGTGTCTCTCGACACAGGCAACACTGAAAAGTATCATTTCTGATATTTAAATGTAACTCATTTAGTATGGACGTGTTAAAAGATAACTTGCATATCTCACACGCCTTCTCAACATCTAAATGGTCTAGACTCTCATGGAATTCTTTAGAAGTGTTACTGTTGAATATCTCGTCGCAGAATCTGCATTTGTGTTCTTTTTTGGCATCATTCTCTAGTTTTATTTTAATGTCTACAATTTCGCCATCATTTGGTTTTGTTGATTTGTGTTTTGCTCTTTCTTCGTTATTTACATTATATTCTTCAATACTAGTACTAACAGCATCATCAGGTGTTCTAGAAGTTGCAATGTCCATTACAGCAGTAGACGCTAATTCGTCACAAGTAGTACTCACCAATTTAGACTGTACTGTATCTATGGCATAATAAATTTCAATTTTGGACAGTTCCCCACCTACATTACTATACTCTTCTACTATTACTTCGTCTAGCTCAAAATCTTTATTATGATGTTTTTTGAGATGAACGTCCAATTCCATAATTTTAAAAGGCAGTTTACAAAATTTACACTCGATGCATTCTTTAGGATCTATGGGAACATGACGTATAATATGGTTATAGCAATCCCGCTCAGACGTGAAGTACACATTGCATTCTTTGCATTTGTATATTTTTTGTGTATACGTTTTCTGAGGCGATGGTTCGTTAAATAAAGTTAGAGTCTCATGAAGTTCTGGCGCAGTTTTATCATCTGGTGCTGTTGTTTGTTCAAGTTCTGTTTCCGTCGCTTTGTCTTGGTTAACACTCTGTGATACAACACTGTCATTGGTATAAGTGGTTATTTCATTATCGTCAAGTCGCTTAGGAAGTTTCCATTCGTGGGGTACAATATGTGTTTCTTCTGGGGTTATGACATTGCAAATTTCAAGTGTCTCATGAGACAGTAAATGCTTTTCCAATGACTTTTTAGTAAATTTAAAACCACACGTAGGACACACTACGTAAACAACTACTTTGTGATTTGACTGTATATGATGAATCCATGATCTGATACTTGAGTAATGTATATCACATTTAGCGCATCGGAACAATGTATTTTTATAATGTCCATATTTTTTATCTACCGATGCGTATGCGGCACATATTTTCTTCTCATCAGAGTTTATATTTCTATTTTCATTATTTCTGTTACATTCATTATCTTCAAGATCTCCAGCGTCTTCGATATTTTCAACCCCTTTATTTGTGTTGCGTGGAATATTATGGTTATTCTCAATAGAGGTTTCGATCGGTGGTTTTTCATGATCGAATTCAACGACACAAAAGTCCTTTCGAATCAGTTTCAATATCCTATGATGTAAAGACACGTGTTTGTGATAAGATCTTATCGAGAATCTCCATCCACAAATCGAGCAGCGTCGAGTAATTGGGTGTTTATGATTAAGCTTCTGGTGATTCCTAACGTCTTGTCCGCTCAACATGTACACATCACATTCATTACATTTATAAATCAATTCTTTTTGTGTTTCACCACTGTCCGCTTTGTCTTTTGTTTTGTAAAAAACGCAATCTTTCTTGTGCTTTGCTAACATATTTTTGGGAAACACAGCTTTATAACTAGGACATCTACACAAAGTCATAGTCTGTGCTGAATCTGGTTTCTCAATTCGATTCTTATCAGAGTTCTTATTCTCCTCCTTTTTATTACATTTGTGTTTATGTAATAAATGTGCCGGGAATTTCAAGCCACATTTAGAGCATTCCGACAAACTGACCCTCCATTCGTCCGGCTTGATATTATCGTTAAAAGGCTGTATAAGAACATCGTCTGATGTCATATTAATCATTACATGTCTCTGATGGTAGTGCATCCGATAACCGGTTTTAGGAAAAACGAAATTACATTTGTGACACAAACGCATGTTTTCTTCAGAAACACACACATGATTCTTTTTGCCTGCAGCTTTTGATTTCACGCAGCAGTAACATTTTTCGCATCGATAGTAAATAAATCGGTATCCAGATGCTATTTTGAACGTACGTTTGGATATATTCTTCATTTTACAGCTGGATCTCAGAACTGCGTTGTAATTTGCATCTTGGGGGTGATTGAAAGTCACAATTCTGAACGTATTGGCTGTGACGGGATCCATTGAATCATGAATGAACGCATGATTGATTTGGGCCTTCTGACTGGCGAAAATGAAATTGCATATAATACACTTGTGTCCTTCAGAATTTGATTTCTCTTTACATTTGTTGAGTGCTGTATGATTGGACACATCCTCACTATCAACGAATTTTGTGCACCTCAGACATTTATAAATTGTAAACCTAGGAGGCCCATCCTGTAGCACTGTCATTTTGACAGTTGGAGTAACGTAAATGCTGTGCCTTAATATTTGCCTCATCTGTTCTTTGGGCAAAGGATCTAATACTTTTAACCAATCATCGGTCAACATGCAAAGATAATCGTAACTCAGAAACGTTAACGAATTCCTATCTATGGTTTGGTTTTCGTGTGACTCCATGTGGTGCTCATAGCATTTCTCTTCAAAATTAAGATTGCACAATTCACAGGTGTGAACAGTGACGTCACAGTCCTCCATCTTATTGAGATGTTTTTGACAATGCTCGATGACATTATCGTAAGAGTCGGTTATGACATCGCACACTTTGCATTTGTACAATATATTCCAAGGAGGTGTTGCATTCATTGCATTATGATGAATTAGATGTAGTGGATGTGCTTCACTCGTGAAAATTTTCTTGCAGAGATCACAAGTTTTAGAAGGAGTGTTCGAGCATGATATATGGTTATTTATATAGTGAACTTTACAAGTTATGCATTTCTTGAACTCCGGTAATGGCGGATTGCATGATTTCAGAGTCCTGATACAGACAAACGTAAAGTCATCGAAGGAAATGTTACTTTCCGTGTGCTGTTCCTCGTGAAACTTAAGCTGTTCAGAACAGCTGAATTTAAGTCCACAAGTTACACAGAAATATTCGCTTTTGATGGTTCTACATTTCTTCAAAAGATGGTCTACCCGATCCCTTAAGTTTCTCATGAACGATTTGCAAACGTTGCAGTAGTACAATTCATCTATCTTGATTTTAATTTGTTGTTTATTTGGTACTTGCTGGATTTCTTTCAAAGGTGGAGTGGACACTGGCGTCTTCTTTTTTGCTTTCGGTTCCGGATATCCAATATTTTTTCTCTTCAAAGCAGTTTTTTTAGATATTTTACACAAAGTCATAGTCTGTGCTGAATCTGGTTTCTTAATTCGATTCTTATCAGAGTTCTTATTCTCCTCCATTTTATTACATTTGTGTTTATGTAATAAATGTGCCGGGAATTTCAAGCCACATTTAGAGCATTCCGACAAACTGACCCTCCATTCGTCCGGCTTGATATTATCGTTAAAAGGCTGTATAAGAACATCGTCTGATGTCATATTAATCATTACATGTCTCTGATGGTAGTGCATCCGAAAATCGGTTTTAGGAAAAACGAAATTACATTTGTGACACAAACGCATGTTTTCTTCAGAAACACACACATGATTTTTTTTGCCTGCAGCTTTTGATTTCACGCAGCAGTAACATTTTTCGCATCGATAGTAAATAAATCGGTACCCAGATGCTATTTTGGACATACGTTCGGATATATTTTTCATTTTACAACTGGATCTCAGAACTGCGTTGTAATTTGCATCTTGGGGGTGATTGAAAGTCACAATTCTGAACGTATTGGCTGTGACGGGATCCGTTGAATCATGAATGAACGCATGATTCATTTGGGCCTTTTGACTGGCGAAAATGAAATTGCATATAATACACTTGTGTCCTTCAGAACTTGATTTCTCTTTACATTTGTTGAGTGCTGTATGATCGGACACGTCCTCACCATCAACGAATTTTGTGCAGCTCAGACATTTATAAATTGTAAACCTAGGAGGCCCATCCTGTAGCACTGTCATTTTGACAGTTGAAGTAACGTAAATGCTGTGCCTTAATATTTGCCTCATCTGTTCTTTGGGCAAAGGATCGAAGACTTTTAACCAATCATCGGTCAACATGCAAAGATAATCGTAACTCAGAAACGTTAACGAATTCCTATCTATGGTTTGATTTTCGTGTGACTCCATGTGGTGCTTGTAGCATTTCTCTTCAAAATTAAGATTGCACATTTCACAGGTGTGAACAGTGACGTCACAGTCCTCCATCTTATTGAGATGTTTTTGACAATGTTCGATGACATTATCGTAAGAGTCGGTTATGACATCACACACTTTGCATTTGTACAATATATTCCAAGGAGGTGTTGCATTCATTGCATTATGATGAATTAGATGTAGTGGATGTGCTTCACTCGTGAAAATTTTCTTGCAGAGATCACAAGATTTAGAAGGAGTGTTCGAGCATGATATATGGTTATTTATATAGTGAACTTTACAAGTTATGCATTTCTTGAACTCCGGTAATGGCGGATTGCATGATTTCAGAGTCCTGATACAGACAAATATAAAGTCATCGAAGGAAATGTTACTTTCCGTGTGTTGTTCCTCGTGAAACTTCAGCTGTTCAGAACAGCTGAATTTAAGTCCACAAGTTACACAGAAATATTCGCTTTTGATGGTTCTACATTTCTTCAAAAGATGGTCTACCCGATCCCTTAAGTTTCTCATGAACGATTTGCAAACGTTGCAGTAGTACAATTCATCTATCTTGATTTTAATTTGTTGTTTATTCGGTACTTGGTGGATTTCTTTCAAAGGTGGAGTGGACACTGGCGTCTTCTTTTTTGCTTTCGGTTCCGGATATCCAATATTTTTTCTCTTCAAAGCAGTTTTTTTAGATATTTTATTGATATTTTGTTCATTGTCACCGAGTTTAGAGTATACACTTTGATGGATTCCCTGAATATGTTTATTGTGTAAAGCGGGACTTTTAGTTGTGCGACCGCAGTATTTACACTTCACAGGACTATCGGGTGATGAAGTCACAACATTCGGATCTCTATACGCTTTATGCATTAGATTGCAATGTCTATAGTATTCGTTTTCAGATTTGAAATAACAAGAACAAATTGCACACGCCAAATACACACAAGCGGATTTTTTTCGAGGAATATTCACGTCGTCACTCTTCGGGTTCGAGTTGCGATTTGGTGGGTCATCTTTGGGAATGTGCATTGGGACGAGGAGCGAATGTGCACTCATCTTGTGGATATCCAGATCATTTCTCGTCACGAACAATATCATACACTGTTTGCAGTATCTAGAACTCCTATCCAATCTATCACCCCAATCTTCTAATGACACAAATAGTGGCTTGATCATAATTTTGGGACACGGCTTGCTACCTAGTATTATTCTATTACGTTGAATATCAGCTCTTACGGCTGTAACAAAGGCACTCGAAGACAATTCAGCTGTTTCTGACAGGGGATCATCAGCGCTAGGTTCTTCTTTAACAGTAGCCATTTCTTCAGAACTTATTCCACTGTATCCATTGTTATTGCCTATTAAAACAACAGAAACAGTTGTTAAAGATAAAATAGGAACAGCTCGATGGCGCAATGGTTATTGCGTGCTTGTAGCTACTCTGTGCTTCGGAAGACATGTTACATTATTGGTCCTGGGTTTTTGGATTCGTTGGTGCATTCAGATGCGGATTGGTGGATGTTATCGACTGCAGATGCAGCCGGTACCAACGGCTCAACATGACTTCCGAAACAGGGAGGTACTCGAATAAAATTTTTGTCAACCATCCTATTACCAGCAGTCGCGACAGTTGCTTTAACTCTGCATCGCAGACAGATATTTAAAAAATAACATAAAGTATGCTGTAATTATACCTTCAACGGAGTCCATCTTGATATTGGACGGGTGTATGAGTTGAAAACCCTAGAACAGATAAAGCAGTGATGGAAATTAATGCTAATTCTTATTAATTTTACATAATAATTTTAACTGCTATTCAAATTATGCAGACCTCCAATGACCTAAAATAACCTTCATAGCTAAGTGGTTCGCAAACTAATTTCACAGTGTTGCCAGCTCTGAGGTCTCGGGTTCGATTCCCGGTCGGGTTTGTATAGATATAAGGAATTCTTTATATTGTCTCCGGTCTGGGTGTTGTGTCTAAGATACTAGATAATAAGGGAGCTTCAGCTACTCATCTTGGAATCTAAGCATTGTATGTGATGTTGTCTAATGTTTATTTATTTATTTATTGAACTTTATTGACCAATAAAGATGGTACAAAAGGCGGACTTAATGCTAATAGAATTCTCTGCCAGTCAACCTTTGGGAAAACAGACAAACGCGATGGCGGTACAGAGCAATAAAAATAAAAAACTACAATAACAAATACTGAACTAATCATAAACATACTACAACTTACCACTACATACAATATAAATAACATTACAAATAATTACATACATACAGCGAAAATATACGTACATACACACATACATAAATATAATTTATGAACGCAACCTTAACAGCGCCACCTTGTGGCTAATGTAAGCTCTCTTTAATAAAGTATGGCGAACGCAAGTTGAATTTTATTTTACAAAAATCCCAACAAACGCTTCCACTGCGCAATAGTTACGCAAGTTTTTGATAAAATGTCAGAAAAAGAAGTGCTTCCAAAGCTAACACCAAATGTAAACTTCGCAAACTGGAAATTCCGAATAAAACTCGTTTTGGAAGAAAAGGGCGTGGGTTACACATTAAACGATTCTAAAATGGAGGCTTCGGATCCTAAGAAAAACTTCGAGAAAGATGATGCCAAAACGCGATTGTATATAGTACAAAGTCTTAGTGATGTTTATCTAGAAATAGTAAAAAAGTGCAAAAATGCTAGAGAAATGATGCAACAATTGGAAACTACGTTTGAACGAAAGAGCACGTTTAATCGTTTACACTTGAAGAAAAAGTTAATCACTATAAAATGTGGCGAAAAAGAAAAACTTCAAGACTTTTACTGTAGATTTGATGCTGCCGTAAGCGATGTACAGGCAAGTGGCTGCGAAATATCGGAAGAAGACCAAGTATGTCAATTAATATCGGCCATGACAAACAATTATGCAAACGTTATAACCTCTATAGAAACCATGTCTACAGAAAAAACTTTGTCTTTAGAATTTGTCAAAGCGAGACTATTGGATGCCGAAATAAAACTACAAAACTGTGATGTGTCAGATTCTAACAAAGATACCTCTTTTTTAACATGCTACACATGTGGTCGCAATGGTCACAAAGCAGTGAATTGCAGGCGAACTTTCAATAATAGAAGAAGTGGGACAGGGAGACGGCAAGATTTACATTATACACAGCAACCTAGCAGAAGCCGTGGAGGACACAATTCTGGAAGATCAAATGGTACTCGAGGAGGACATCACAATTATTCAAGTACAGTGATAGGTAACGATGATCAAAATTTTTCTTTTTTAAGTGCAATGACAAGTAATTGTAATGATAATAACTTTAAAAATTCTAACTTTATTGATTGGATTATAGATTCTGGTTGTACTCATCATTTAATTAATCAATCTTATGAAAAATTTATGTCAAAAGTTACTTTATTAGATGAACCTATTAAGATATTAATTGCTAATGGAGACTGTATATAATTTCCTACAAAAAGGGTATTATAAACCTATTGCACAAGGATTACAAAATAAATTTTGAAACTTTAATTGTTGAAAACTTGACACATAATTTATTATCTGTTAAACGTATGGTTGAAACTGGACATGTAGTAAGATTTAATAAGGAAAATGTATTAATTTATAAAGAAAATAGTAATATTTATTTGAAAGGTACATGTAAAGGAAAACTTTATATTTTAAAAACTATATGTAATACATCAATGTGTAGATCATCATGTTACAATATAAAGAAGAAAATATGATAAATAAATATTATGAAGAAACAGAAAATGAAGACAGTGATTATGAAGAAAATAAAATACATAAAAAAGAGATAGATATAGAATATAAACAGAAAGAAAAAGAACATAAGTCCAGATGTGGTGAAAATACTGAAAATGAAATGCAAAGACAAGTACAAGAAACTGAAGAAAGAACAAATGAACACAGGAGTAGATCAGGGAGATTGATTGTACCACCAAAACATTTTCAAAATTTTGAGTATGAATTAAATGTAGCATATTGTCTACTAAGTGGAGAACCGAATACTTTTGAAGAAGCAATAAAGGATAAAGAATGGAAAGAAGCCATTGATAAGGAATTGAAAGCACATACTAAGCTAGAAATTTGGGAAGAATCAATACTACCAAAAGGAAAAAAGGCAATAGATACAAAGTGGATATTTAGAGAAAAACAGGATGGTTCAAAGAAAGCCCGTGTTGTAGCAAAAGGATACCAACAAGATGAAAGAAACAAAATATATTATTCTCCAGTGGCTCGAATGTCAACAATTCGTGCTATGTTGAGTCAAGCTGTACAAGAAAATTTGAAAATAAAGCAATTGGACGTACCAACAGCATTCTTAAATGGTACACTTAAAGAAGAAGTTTACCTTAAATGTCCCAAAGGATTAAAATTACGAGAAGGGAATGTATTGAGATTAAAAAAGGCTTTATATGGTCTTAAAGAAGCACCAAAATGCTGGAGTAAATGCTTTCATGATTTCATAACTAAACATGGATTTGAACAATCAAAATATGATGTGTGTTTATATACAAAGGACAAAACTCAGTTACTGATTTATGTTGATGACATAATTATTCTAGGAAATGAGATGGATATATTAGAGGAATTGAAAAAGGAATTTAATGTAAAAAATTTAGGTGAGATAAAGAACTACTTAGGTATGGAAATTACAAGAAAAACAGATACCTTAGAAATCAAACAAAAGGAAATTATAAACAAGATTTTGACAAAATTTAACATGCAAGAAAGTAAAGGGGTAAAAACACCCATGACTACAAACTTCTGTATATCAAATGAAAAACAATTAATTGATGTTCCATTCAGAGAACTGATTGGCTCATTATTATTTATTTCTATGAACAGTCGACCAGACATAACATATGCAGTTGCATATTTAAGCAGATTTCTTGAAAAGCCAACGTCTGAATTATGGACAGCAGGTAAAAGGATTTTACGTTATTTAAAAGACACAATAGATAAGGGTCTAGTTTATAAAAGGTCAAGTATTAAAGAAATTGAAGCTTACTCAGATGCAGACTGGGCAGCCGACCGAATAGATAGAAAAAGCACTAGTGGATGTGCTATCTACTACTCAGGTAATTTAATAACATGGCATTCAAGAAAACATACTTCAGTAGCTCTTTCTACAACAGAATCTGAATATTTAGCCGCAGCTCAAACAGTAAGTGAGTTAATCCATCTCAAGGGATTAATATCGGAATTAACCAAACTAAATGTTAATGCCAAACTATTCATTGATAATCAAAGTACTATTAATTTAATTGAAAATTGTGATAATGGAAAGCGATCAAAACATATAGCTCATTTTATAAAGGATGTAGTCAATAAAAAGTTAATTTCAGTTCATTATGTACCTACAGCAGAAAATATAGCTGATGTTTTTACAAAAGCCCAACCTATTGATAAACAGTTATACTTCATTAAAAAATTGAACTTAGAATAATACGTAATAAAAAAAAATTAAAAAAAAAAATACAAAATTCATATATGACATATTTTTATTATCTCTAGTAATAAGATAGGACTAGCATTGTTATTATAGAAACTTAAAAACAAATATCAGTGTAATACTTACATTCTATTAAAGTTATTTTATGTCAAGTAAAATTTATATTTAAGCTATGTAATGCATGATGCTTGTGTTGTATTAGTAAAGTAAGTCAAGTGGTTAAAGTATCCTATATGTATAAAAGCATTTTTAAATTAGTGTATATTGTGTTATGATTACTGTTAAGTTTTTATTGGGATCATAAATTCAGGGGGGATGTTGAATATAATTTATGAACGCAACCTTAACAGCGCCACCTTGTGGCTAATGTAAGCTCTCTCTAATAAAGTATGGCGAACGCAAGTTGAATTTTATTTTACAAAAATCCCAACAATACACATTACATCAATACACAGATGATGATGACAATCTTCACAAGTCTTGAAACAGAAAGGAGTGGACTTTTTTTTTAGACAGATGCCTCCGCTGTAGAATAGGAAGCCATTTTAACTGAAACCGATAAGAGGAAACATGGTCGAACTTACGAAAACAGAAGATGAAACGGATAGCATTATTGATAAGGCGGTCCAACTTATAAAGATGTTCATTTAAATCAGGATAACAGACATCGGCATAGTCAATGAGTGGAAGAACAAGAGAAGTGGCAAGAGTGACCTTCGTCTTGATAAGAAGGAAGTTCCTAAGACGGTTGAGGGAACGTAGAGTAGGTAACTGTTCGACTCAATTCGGCGATTTGCGTGGTCCATTTGAACTCGGAGTCGATGTGGAGGCCAAGGTTTTTAACTCTGGGGCTAAAAGGTATAATTGAGTTCTCGAACGCAACAGACGGGAGCAGGCTGTTATCGAGCTTAGAGATCTGTTTCGAGCCACCCACAATAATTGCCTGGCATTTTAAGGGATTTACAGTAATCCCAAAATTAGCTGACCATGCACTGATTACATAGGGCTCCATTCAGTTCAGAGATCCCTGCACCAACCTCTTCAACGGTCTTCTGCACATAAATCTGAAGATCGTCTGCATAAAAATGATAAGAACAGCCAAGAGAGAAAGAGAGAAAATTTATAAAAATGGAAAATAGGAGAGGGGACAAAATACCACCCTGAGGAACACCAGCAGTCACATTTTACAACCGGACATATCACGACCCCCACGCACAGCTTGCTGACGACCACGAATATAATTTGTGAAC